GGGTTTGGCAGAGACGCACTCTGATGAGTAAACAGACTCGCTGACAGATTACTGGCAAGTGCCCCTGATAGGCAAAGACCCGAAATGGAGTCTGGACGCCAGACAAGGGATGGATTGACACTGGGCATGATCCAAAGAAAAAACAGAGAGTGAGTGAGAACTTCCATTTTCATCTCATATCTTCTGAGCTGTTTGATAGAACTCAGGCTTTGCTTTTTGTTCACTGTCACAAACAAAATACCTGCGGGATCCACCACAATCAATTTTCCAGCTGACTGTGTTGGATATAAATTTCTTATTTTGCTGTTGTGACACACAACCTCCAGACTGTTTTGTTCTGGGGCCACCACTATAATCCGAGTCTAGGGAATGAGTCATGTTATGAAAGGTAAACAGGAAGAGGAAGCAGTTGATGCAGCTGCTGCAACAAAAATGTTCTCTCCTGCTTTTTTGTTTGTTTGTTTTTGTTCTGACGCTCACTAGCTGGTAAAATGAGCAGTCATTTTTCTGTACTGTCCCATCCATAAAAGCAAGTTGTGTTTTCCTCATTAGCTTTTCACGGGCAAGAACATTGGATTTTTATGGTTTTAAATGGATTTAATGTTCCTTCTCCAACGTTTGGAGCTGTTTCGACGACTTCTTAAAGTCTCCACTCGTTCTCCTTTAGCTTTTAGATCTTGAAGCCAGATTCCGGCACAGTTCACTGCCGGACAGTCGGTCATTAAGGCTCCCTGCTAGACCTGCTGGCCTTCTAATTATCTTTAAAAAAAAAAGAAGAGCTGTGTTTGGTGTAAGGCCCGACAGAACAGCTGTGTGAAACTGGACCCTGCCTCTATGGATCCGACCTTGGCCTTTGCAGGTTGCTTTTACTGTCTGGAACTGGAGCTGGAAATTCTTAAATTCTTTTTCAGGCTCTTTATTGTGTGTCTGCATGTGAGTACACATGTCGATGAATGTTTCACTGTATGCACATACAGCAGAGAAATTCTCAAAGCCTCATTCCACATCTAGATAAGACACTATATCTGTCTGTCTGTGTGTGTGTGTTTTTGGCCGACTAAGAAAGGCTCATTGATGGAAGCCGTTGAATGAAGTGATTGTGATTTGAACTGAAAAGACCCCGGTCTGGGCTCCACGGGGGCCTAATCTGCTCTGCTCAGCTGAAAGATCTCAACGCTCGCACACTGCGGTTATTTTTAGACGCTCAAACTCTTAAAAATGTAAACCTCACCGGGGAGATTTCCCTGTGGTGCTTTGTCATTAACACTTTCCCTTCATCCCTGCACCAGCAAGTGTGACACCAGGCCTATTTTTATTCTCCAATTTTATCATAAACAAAACCTATATATATGGATATCATGTTTGACCCCAACCGAGTGTCTATTTCCTCTGCTGAAACTGCTGCCAAGATCAGAGCAGATCATGAGAACAGCCCGGACTGTTCCATTTTGAGTGCCACTTTCATCTGGTAAGCACCACTGTACTGTCTGTGTTAGAGAGTAGAAATTGTGAACTCAAAAGTAAGAACAGCTTTTCTTCATCATACAGTTTGTATCATATCCTCTTTAGAAATTTGACAGAAGTATAAGGATGGTATCCTCCACTGCCTTAGGCCGTGGCTGTCGATGGTGGCTATAATTGAAATGTTATCTAACAGGAAACTACTTCCTACTGAAAGAACCTCCTTAGCCACAAGCTGTATTTTGAGTTGGTCTCTGCGCCTATTACCAGTAAACAATCAGTGTCTTCTTCAAGTCATTTTCTTTCTAGAAAAAGTGAAGCTGTAAATTTAGAATAAAACCGGGTATGGTACTAACACTTACACATATATAAATAGATCCTGATGGGAATTTATATCTGACAATACAAATATTTTAAGTATAAGGTGATTGAAAGACACAAGTAACTGAGGCAGAGTTTTGAAGTCAAATATAAATACAGATTTAAAGATAAATAACTGCAGCTATACAAAGTTGACTAACTGTAAAGTTCTGGTACAGCAGATGTTAGTGTATTTTTAGTTAAACTTCAATATTATTTGAAATTTAAACCTGCCTGTGTCACCTCTTAGATTCTCAGACTTTAACAGCCTCATCATCTTAACTTGTAGGGCCTCCTTCTTTCAGAGCTGCATTGACGAGATCCAGTTCAGCTCTTGCTGTTGTGAAAAGAGCTGAATCTGACCCCGCCTATTGGTTCTGAGCAGGATTGGCACACTGCTTTCCTCACTTCTTCATTTAAAACGTTTTCTTTTCCACTCAGGTATCCTCACAGTGTGGATTTTTGACTTTGTCGCGTGTACCACAGCTCCCTGTTTTCTTTGCATTAAACAATATCATTTGCTCAAGACACGAGCATCTTACACGAAACAAAGAATGTGGCACACGACTGTGAGACGATCACCTGTATGGTGACACCTCTAGTGATTGAGAACCCTCTGTTATTATAACTGGTTTTGATATTTCAAGATTTCACCCCTGTTCCCTCTGTGACATTCCCCTCTGCATACCACTGTCTTACATTACTTTAGTGTGATAGGGGATATCTCCCTAATGCATTCACAAAGGCCCGCTCTCTTTACCGGAGAAGGATTTGCTGATATTGAAGGAAATTGCTTTTTCCTAAAACACACTTGGAATTCAGCCTCGGCCGTTTGTGCAAAACGAGCTGTTTCCAAAACACACAGATTCTCTTATTCTTCTCTTTTTCTTTGGCTTCAATGTCATTTAATGTCATTCTCCTCTTTTCTCGACTCAAAAATGTAGTGGGTATGTAAAGTGGTGTCAGTGTGTCATATGGACAAACAGAATGGATTTAACGTATGTTCTGCAGCATTTTCTTTGAATATAAATGTCCATTTTAAAACATAATTATTTTGTCAGTTGAAGAAAGAAAGGATGTTTCTTATTCCGTCCCATTTTCTGATTTTTTATTTTTATTTTTTTTACTGCTTTTTAATCTGCGTTCAACTCAAATTCTCCTCCAACCTCCACCTCTCCCCTCTTAACCTCAATTAAACCAGATCACAGCCCAGATCTGGATCTCATCCAAACGTCGAGCTTTGTGGCATCTGACAGTCTCGCTCCGAGTTGTCTCTGTCATAACATGCAAGCAAGACGTCACTTAGCTTGTCTTTCAGTCAGATCGTGTCCATCTGCAGACGAACTGATGTGAAATAGTCAGATATCAGTTGTTTCTAGAGGCCTTTGTAGCTTGAAAGTGTGTGTGTGTGTGTGTGGGTGGTTGAGTACAGTATGTGGGTGTGTCCCTACAGACAGTCTTAACCACACAGAAACAGATGGACACACACACACGGTAGCCAGATGGTGACAGACTTGGCTCACACCGTGCCTTGCGCTGCTCTGATCCCTCTCCTCCTCATTTTTTCTGCTCACCACTCCCTCCTGTCTGTGGCCTCTATAGTGAAGTTTTTACCTCCATCCTTTTTTGTATCCTGTCACTCTGGCAGTTTTAACTTATTCTGTCTTTTGAATAGTACTTAAGATGAAGATTAGAAGATTCCAAAAAATTATGACTATAAATAATATCTTGAAATTGTGACAAATAGTCATAACTTTTTAGATTAGGCAATTGGAAATTTTAGTTGCTTTTAGACATTCCTCCAGACACTTTGGACATTTTCAAGAACTTTTCCTGCCAGCCTGGACCCAATTTTCCAGACAGTTTCTGGAGTTCATGTCTGAAAACCAGTTTTGATTTGCTTGGAATAGCAAAATGGCTCAATCCATATTCTGAAATGGAGTCAAACTGCAGCATGTGATAGTTTATTTTGATCAGCATTTACCGGGTAAATCTATGGCAAAACAAATGTCTCTTAATAATAGTTGAAAATCAGTGTTATTTCTGGCTTTCTAAGCAGCAACATGCCCATAACAGATCTAAAAGTAGAGGATATGTTACATTTTTGAAGATATTCAAGTAAAGGACATGTCGTCACCACTTAGATAGTTAAACTTAGCCAATAGAGTTGAGTATTTTGCAGCAACTCGTGTATATAAATGCCTTAATGGCATTAATGCCAGATGGTTTCTAATATTGTATGTATTGTAATTAAATCTGCGTACCACAACATTAAGTCTATAATGTAACAGAAAATGAGCAGTCCACAAAGGTAGTAAGATATTAAATGCACAATGCCTTGAATAAATTACATAGAATTTAGCAGTGATTTTATTTTATTTTAATGTTCAGGAAACAATAAACCAAGCTATAGTCTCAATATTTAGCATCATGAAATACCCCAGTCACAACACCATCACCCTTCCTTCAAATTTGTCTGTTGCTGATCTCAGTCTCAGATCTAGTTTTTGCCTGTGTGTGCCTGTCAGTGGCAGGAATGCGTGTCTTCATAACTACACATAACATGCCTCCACTGGAGCCTCATCAGAGTCACTGAATGTAATAGCACGGTGTATCTCCTCAGAAGCTCCGCAGACTGACAGGGTGGCACCGTTTTGCTTGAACCGCCTCGGAGAAAATTGCTCTGTGCTAATTTTGGGTTCGCTTCCATGTCTGGGTCTCGTTTGGTCCCACATTTAGTCGTCATGCTTGTCGCAGCTGAAGGACTCCAGAGAGAACAATGGTTTACATGCAAACATACCAGCACTGGGCTGAGCAACATCATTTAACAGAACACAGATGATACTTTGAAGCACACATGCACTCTTTCCTGGGGCGTTGTGATTGTTTCTGAAGACCCCCAGCTGAGCCTGGGCCTCCAGCTACTCATTAGACACAAACCTGAAGCCTCAACCTCACATTAAGGTCAAAGGTCAGCAGCTTTTCAGGTGAGGGGACGCTCATTAGAAAAAATGGCATCAGGATTTGATTTTTTTATGTACCTGTCTCCTTTCACTAAGGAAACTAATTAGGTTAAAGCACTTCGCTGTGTGACAATGTGGCGTCTGCATTTCTTCCTCTATCCTCCACTTTCATCTTAATTGAATTTGTTTCTCTCCACCTCTCTTCTTATCATCCAGCAACGTTCTCCAGGCAAAGTGCTGTTTGACCTGGCTTGTGTCCATCTCAACCTGACTGAGGGAGACTACTTCGGACTGGAGTACCAGGACCAGCGCAAGATGACGGTATGACTCGCTGCACACACTCTCAGTGTTGTTGTTTTTTGCAGAATACATTTTTCAACCCTTTTCTTAAATATTCCAAGTTAACATTTTGCACAAAAGTACAATAAACATCATCTGTCTTTACTCTTTTTAATGCTGCAATTGTGAAAGTAGCCAAATCCAATAGTATTTCAATGATACATTTAAAGCCCTGTGACTTGCACAGATCTACATTTAGCATCCAAGATGTTTTCACAGCACACACAGAGGATTTTCTCTCCTCCATGTGGTCGGGAGGATCTCAGCGAAGTTTCCTTCTCACTTTCCCACAAGTTAACTTTAGCCTAAATGACATGGGTGCACACTCCACTTCACGCGAAGGTTGTGATTAGTCCCACGTAATGTAATGGAAGAGCTCCATGCACCACACTTTGCAGGGGAGAGTTACCAACGATTTAAGACGTTGCAGCTTTCACCTGGACTTTCTACATGTTTTATGAAAGAAGCAGCTGGTTGCAGATGCCTTGGGGCCCCCATCTGTAGTTTGTTGTCGTCTCTGCGTAATAAAGGAAACCATAGCTGGAGGATAAGAAAATCATAGCTGCCCCATTCATGTATCAACATGCACATACAAACACTTTCAATATACTCAAACACAAATAGCCACTGTGCATTTCTGTGTCTCTGGCTTGAGGCGGTTTTGAAGTGGACCACTGGAACAAATTACATTACAACAACATTGTCAGCATACACAAATGCACAAAGCTATACTCTCTGCAGATATTGATGAGTGTTTATCTTGTTTATGTTAGCTAGTGGGAATTTTATAGGTGTAATAAATAATCCAGATTGAAAATATACTCCATTGTATTTCAAACGCCATTACAAGGAGTGTCATGTTCATGTGCTGACAATATTGATATAATGACTCTTCCATTATCTATCATAAGGAGCCTCTGTTGCATTTATTCCAACAGTGTATTTAGTGGTAATTTTATATATATATATTTTTACAGAAATCCCATTATAAAGTTGAAGAAAGCATTTGGTTCATATTTTCTGTTTATTATATATTATCTGTTTCTAGGAACAATTATGTGATTTGCCATTTATTTAATGTAATGACAGTTTTCAGATGTTTATTTTAATTTATTCCAACCATAGCAAATATTTGCAAACATCATTTGAACATTTTCTCCATAACTAGCCTCAAATTATATACTATACCAACAACATTTTATTTGGATCATCAAGATCCTTAAATCAATCTATATTCTAATCTTTTAACATAATAATTCCTGGATGTGCCCCCTGATCTGGATCGAAACCAAAATTTAACGGGTCCTTCCTTGGGTCATGGTCGTACCCAATCCGTCAAAAGTTCCACAGAAATTGCTTTAATATTTTTCCATGTAATCCTGCAAGAAAACAAGATAACCTTCTTGGTGGAAGTAATTATTTGGTATTTACAGTATATAGGATTTGAACCTCAAATAACAAAGATATCACATGCACAGCTAAAGTGATCTTTTTTTCATGCTGTGGTTGTAGCAGTCTTCCTGATTAGCTACTGAAGTACTTCTTTAAATAAAGAGAATGCCGTGAGATACTAATGTCTGTTTCTTCTGTCCACAGGTGTGGCTGGACCTGCTGAAGCCGACACTGAAACAGATCAGACGTAAGTAGTGCACAGAAATGACCACGATTAAAAATGAGGTTAGATTTTGGCCCTTGAATTTGAGGGTCAATTAGTAAATGGAATGTATGACACAACAGTTTTGTCTGCCTCTTTTCTGAATCTGTACTTACCCTCCTCCCGCCCCTTGGTTCTCACCCATATCCCGTTATTTCCTTCCCTCAGGGCCTAAAAACACCATCCTCCGTTTTGTGGTGAAGTTCTTCCCTCCTGACCACACACAGCTCATGGAGGAGCTGACTCGGTAAGTCTCAGACAGAAAACCACACCTCTCTGAAGAGGAGGCTTTCCAGCCCTTCAGGGGGATTTTTAAACACCATATATAGTTTATAACTATCTGTAGCCCTTCTACAATATCCACATACCACAACATCTAACAAGGTTATTCTTCCTTTTTCTGGATCCAAACAAGACATTTTAGTCTGTCGTCTCAGAAGCAGGCTCATAAAAACATTTGTTGTTCTAAAATAGCTGATGCATGCTCGACTTACTTCAAAAGAAAAAATATTTTTTTTTACACTGGGAAACATATTCTCATTTTTTGCCTCGACCTGCCCAGCTGGATTTACTCGACTCAAGAGTAAAACAGGAAGTGTTAGCTGGTCTGAGAGGGAAAGAACTCAAGTTGGATTCGCAGCACGTGATCCTGTGTTACTTAGTGTAATTTAATTTAGTTAAAATCAGCCTCACTGTGTCAGAGCGTCAATTTCATATGTTTTTCAGCTGATTTTGTTTGGAAGGAAATGGGTGATATGTCTTGTTCCAGTGGCTTTCACATTGGTTCTTCAGGAGTTTAAGATAAATCTCTAATTTGAAGCACAGTTTGTCTGATTATTTTCTCAGTTAAAGACGGAATAGAGATATAATAACATAATGGAAGAAGTTTTTGGATGAACAGCTGCAGGTGACCTCAAGAATGTTTGAAACTTCATTATGTCCTCCTCTGGCTGTGTGCAGGATTATATGACTTCTTTAAATCTATATGAGGTTGTTCGGCTGCAGACACACCACCTCCTAATGTCTAGTGTGCCTGAGACAGAAGCGGCTCGGTTTACTGTGGCATCAAACCCCTGTTTCTGTTATGGCCACAAACAGCACTGGAATTTAAAGTATTAAAACTTATTTTTAACAACAGAACAATATGAATATCATCTGGACATCTTGTAGTGTGCCAGCATTAAACAGGAAGTGGGCCCACACTCTTTGTTTTGCTGTCAGTGTGGCAAGATGCAGACCAAACATGGAAATAGGCAGATGGATTTGTTTGGGGATACATCAGCCTGTCATTGGCTTTTTATTAAAGTGGGATGCTTGCAAATAGGCTGCATTTATATAGTCCTATTCTAGTATTATTGGGGATCGAACCCGTGATCCCCTGAGCCACAGCTGCCGCAACTGTGACACAACACTGGCCAACCACTGTTGGTTTAATGGTCATTTCACTCTAAATTGGCCTGCCGTCCTTACACATTAAAAGCCCCTGCTGGTCTTCCTCTCAGGGCGAAAATAAAATGATATAGACTCTCGCCGAAGCCTCATTAACTTTATCATTGAGGTAATGACAGTTATAAAAAGGTTGAAGTGGATATTGCATAAAAATCCGCCATGGTCCATTAATCACACGCTCATAGATGCACTGTGAATATTAACCTCAGGCGGCTGCTGTCGTCCTCTTGCTGAATCAGTCGAGTTCGAGGTTTAAAACCATGTCAGAGAAAATGTTCAATTAGCTCTGGTTCATTTTTCTAACAGTTTCCTAAAAACATGCAGCAAACCCTCAAAGCAACATATGAAAACTCAATATGCATTAGTACAAATTATTGAGACCTTCAGTGGGCGCGTGTGTTGAGTCAGAGTTTTATTATCACTAGGTTTTGAGGTAAGCTGTCTTCACACCACCTACGCACAGCTCTCTGCTTTATGATGCCGCCTCTGCTGTTTCTCAGTTAAAGTGCAACGTCACGACCTGGCGACTCATACTTGCAGTGCAATGCATGACTGCTCATGAGCTCCAGATCATGCAATTAGAAGCGGACTGTGTAATGATTAACAGAAAAGGAGCATTTGGGATTAGTTTGTCGTCAGGAGGTGCAACATATCAGTAGTGTGTGTGTATAAATGTCATGGATTTGCTTTTGAATATATAAGCTGTTAAGTTTATTGACCTCTCTGTCTGTGCCTTTTCACTTTCTACTTTCCCTTTCTCTTTGTCCTCTCTACCTCCGTCTTCTTTTCTCCAGGTATCTGTTTGCCCTGCAGATTAAACGCGATCTCGCCTGCGGTCATCTCATCTGCAACGACACCAGCGCCGCTCTCATGGTCTCCCACATCATTCAGTGTAAGTGCAGCACATGCAGGTGCCAGTTTGACATATTTTCTCATGTCTAAATAATACGCACCTTTTTGCTTAACATGAAACATACGATCAAATTAAACTAGCGAGAACAAGTGCTTTATTTAGCTTAAGACGAAAAAAAGCCTGACTGCTTCACTGTAGTGTAGGACGATAAAATCAGCTAATACAAGAATATCACAACAGATAATCAAGCAGCTCTCAGCACGGCGAGGCACAGAGTTTACTGGATAAATAAAAAGAACATCATATAAACACAAAGCTGCCTCTTTCAGTGTTAAACAGTTAAAATGACGCTAATGAGAAGAGGGTCTCGGCCCGCTCCAGCAGGACAGATGCTTGCCAGCATGGAACCACGATGGAAACGTCGCCCTCCTGCCTCTTTGTCTTTATTCCTCAGTCGTTATCCATAACATAAATTATTAATATTCCCCTACATGGAAAATAAGTAACATTATACGTGATGTTTGGAAGAAGTAAACACTGTACGGCAGCGGTTTTTATCTGTTTTCCCCTCCAGCGAACATTCAGTGTGTGAAGGAAATAGAATTTATGTATTTAGGTGCTCGCTGCGGCATGGCATGCTTGAAGGATATCACTTGGTTGCCCTGGTAACCATCAGTGCTGGCATGTGTATGTGCAACTGCGGGTGGTACAGTACGAGTGGTTATTATCGAACAGATGGAGGCACGCATCAGCACACTGCACGTACAGTGGATTAGATTGAGATGGAGCATATACAAGATTAAAACGAGCAAAACAGATAATAAATCATAAAAATTAAATGATCTGTATTTTGCTTTCTCCTCAGCAATCAACCTCTAAATGTATTCCCCTTGTGACCACACACTTCCTCTCTCACCTCCATTTCTCCTCTCTTCTTTTTTTACTCCAAATAAATATCAAATACTCACCCCTCTGTCAACTCTCCCCTCTTCCTCCCGTCTCTTCTCCTCCATCAGCGGAGATCGGAGACTTCGATGAGACCCAGAGCTGGCAGCATCTCCTCCACAATAAGTACCTGCCTGACCAGGACGCCATCAGAGACAAGATCACCGACTGCCACCGCAAGCATGTGTGAGTTGTTGCATGCAAATCATCACATTTAAGAAGCTGCAGTTAACAAACACTGGGCAAACGAATATTATGGTGATTTGTTTGTTCATTAATGTTCTAAATATAAGGAAATGTGTCCAGCAATGATAAACGTGTTCTCCACTTGCGGGACTGAGGAATTGAGGTCATTTCAACACTTACAGGAGCAGCAGTGTTTACCTGAAATAGCAGGTCAAGATTATCCCTGCTTAAAAAACAATACCGAGCCAAGCTTTAGTCTGACTGGGGTTTCCTGGTCTCGTTGAGATTGAAGTTGTCAGGAGATGTTGTTTTAAAACACACGCACACATTAAACAATTAAACCCAACCACTACATCTCTCTCCTGCAGAGATGTTATCTCTTAAACCACAACTACTCACACACGCCAAAAACTCATGTGGACACACACACACCGCAGAGGTGGCTATCTACAAACGAACTCCTTGGCACTGCCTCTGTGCCCTTGGGACACACACACATATACATACACACACATACACACACACACAAACACACATAAACACACAAATGCATTTTTCCTGTTTTCTAGCAATATAGATTCCCCTTTAGTCTGTCCTCAACCACAGATAGGAGCTGAGTACATCATCTCAGGCTTGATGATTGATTATTTTTATAGATTTTTTTTTTTTTTTTGTCACGGTCACACTCTTCAACCCTTTCCCCCCCGTCTCTCTTGGCTCCCTCTCTCCTCAAGTCCCACAGCACACCCCTGCCAACACAGGAAGGAAGTGGCTAATTCAGCAGCTTATACAGGAAACAGGAAGCTATTTTCAAATTTTTTTCTAGGGAATCAAACTTGTATTGTGGCAGTTTTCTTTCCGCCCACCGTGGGCACAGACGTCTGATCCTGTGGTGTATTTCAAGACTGTTAGTTACTTTTTTGAACAGGCTGGAATTGAAACATGGAATGAGGTCTCGTCTCAAATTTGGCACATACTGTTGAAACAATGACACATGAACATGTGGTGAAGGATATTGATGAGCTCTTAATGTTAATGACGAGCTCTCAGCCCCCAGTGCTCTGAGAGAGTTAAGCATATGGAGACACTACGAATGCTTTAGAAAGATAAAAGATGCTGTTTGATTTATGGAAAATTACTGAACTGATTGATTGCTCTCCTCTGTAGCGGGCAGACTCCTGCAGAATCGGACTACCAGCTGCTGGAAATCGCCCGGCGGTTGGAAATGTACGGAGTTCGTCTGCACCCAGCAAAGGACAGAGAGGGAACGAAGCTCAGCCTGTCCGTGGCACACACCGGGGTGCTGGTCTTCCAGGTAAAACAGATCCATATTCGTCAAATCATTTCTGATCAAAGAGACAACTCTAGTATCAAGAATAGAATATATTTATAAAGCAACCCAACATACAGAGAAATGTGTTTCAGTTCAAGTAGGAGTTGCCTGCAGCCTCAGATACATTAATTAACACTTATATCATTTAGTAAATGTTTATATGATTATTATAAATGTTAAAAATGAGAGTATATGGATGAAATCAACCAAAACAAAGAAAAAAACTCGTCAGGAAAGACATTGTCATGTAAAAAACCCTTTGAGTACCACATTGTCATGCATATTCTGCATGAACATGATGCTTCACTGACTAAACATGCCAAAAAAATCCACTAGAGTATTTTAGTCTGAAGGATTTTACTTCTGGAATTCTCTTGTGGCACCAAACTCTGGTTCAACAACCTGCCTGAAATTCTGAAACAGAATTACGTTGTCGCAAGGACAAGCACACGGCTGTAAATCTCAGGTTGACATAAATTCCTGAAATAGTTTCTCCCAAAAAGGGGAGATATATTATTAAGCAGTATCTGCGACAAGGACACAGCGGACTGTTTCACTGCTTGAGTGTAGAAGTTGCCGTCAGCATGTCCTGGTTTAATGAAGGACATTCCTTGTTTCAAAGACTTTCTTACACCGTCCACCAAAGAGAAGATGCACCCTGTTCTGACCACACTGACCCAAATTATCTTAAAAAGTCTGCATTCTCGCTGATATGACACAGCCTGGTTGAGGTTTTGTGGCAAGACTACACCCAGCTTAGCAGGGAAGAAGAATGGAGAATGGCACGGAGGATATGTAATTGTTATACCAAGAGTTTTTTAAATTGAGCCAAGCTGAACTGTGTATTTTTAGGGGAAAATGAAAAATCCACACAGAAGAAAAGATGATTTTACATTTGAAGTCCTTTCTCTCATCCTTTTTTTCCCCTGATTCCTTGTGAATATTAACCAGCTTCCTTCCTCTCCTTTATTTTAGGGCTACACTAAGATCAACGCCTTCAACTGGTCTAAGATTCGCAAGCTGAGCTTCAAACGCAAAAGGTTCCTAATTAAGCTGCGAGCCGACCCCGCTGTAAGTATATATGACACCTTTTCTTTCTTTCCCTTCCTTCCCTCGTCCTTCTTTTCTTTACTTCTATTATTAAGTGGTCATCTAGATATCTGTCCTCGCTTCCATGCTCACACCTGACTGTGCGTCCTACAGCAGAACGCACACCACGACACGCTGGAGTTCGCCATGGCCAGCAGGGACTGTTGTAAGATCTTCTGGAAGATCAGTGTCGAGTACCACGCCTTCTTCAGGCTTTTCGAGGAGCCCAAGCCCAAACCCAAGCCCATCCTCTTCACCAGAGGGTCGTCATTCCGCTTCAGGTCAGGAGGGGCTGGAAAGAGATGTGATGGCTGTTTGTTGGCTTTTGTCTTTAATTTGTTTCTCATCAGCCGCTTTGTTCCTGCAGTGGTCGAACTCAGAAGCAGATCATCGATTACGTCAAAGACACGGAGCTCAAGAAAGTTCCTTTTGAAAGGTGAAGCCCCCTCCTTTATTAGAGACAGGCCCTCTCTACCCAACATACATCACGTCGCAACAAATCCACAGCGGTTTATAGTTTTGGCAGAGACTGTTGCACATGATTTGACCTCATCTCTCTCCTCTGCTTTTTTCAGAAAGCACAGTAAGGTTCTGTCCCACAGCAGCATGTCCCCTCTGTCTTCTTCCTTCAGATTACAAGTGCCAAAAGAGGTAACACACACTTTAGTACCCCTTCAACCTTTATTTACCTCAGAAAATTTCTTGTCATTATCTCATTTTCTCCGCTAACGTTTCTCCTCATATTCTTTTCTTATTTGCAGAGTGCCATGTCTGTTGCGTTAGCAGACCAGCCTGACTCAGCCCGATTGAGCCATCGAGCTGAGACTAACACTTCAGATGAGCCAGTTGTAGCCTCTGCCAACGGTTTCCAAGATGTACCGGCGGCTCCTGGCTCGGACCCGATTCAGTCCAGACGGAACCACAACGGCGCAGGATCAGCACCAGACCAGCACCTCCTCAACCCAGGTCCATCCTGCAGGACAAACAAAGGCAGCAGCTCCTCTATACCTTACATAGACTGCAGCGACATAGACAGTGAATGTGATGTGACAAAGAACAACAGGGCCACCAGGGGCCACAGCAATGCAAATGACAGCAATGAGGATGAGCCTGCAGTGTATAATAATAATGAGCGAGGGGGTAGCGGTCGTAATGAGGGGCAAGCTGGGAGTTTGTTTGGGGTTGTGAGTGGGTTTTACCACACCAATCATCAGGGGCTGATGCAGCAGCAGCAGCAGGGTATGCTGGGTAACAGAAGTCATGTAGATCAGTCTCCTGTGTCGAACAAGTTAAATCGGAGTCATGAGCCAACAGATGATGACATTTTGTCCAATGGGGGTTCGTTTCACGGCCGTCTTCCACTGCACAGCACGTTGCTGGATGAGATCTTTCAGGGTCGAGACAAGCGAGGGGCTGCGTTAGGTCGACCTTTAGGGTCCGGTACTCGGAGTCAGTGCTCCAGCCCGGTGATCAGCAGCTTCCACCACCGCACCAACTCGCTCAGTCACGCCGAGATGACAAACGGTCACAACGGTCACCCGCACTCAGGCTCGCGCTGGAACGACCGCGGGCATCTTTTCAGTAAACGTCCCGGCACGGTAACCATGGAAGCCCCCACAGTCCCACCGTCATCCCAGCCACCAAACCACTATGGCAGCTACTCCCCGATAACCTCAAACCGCACGTCGCCACATTTGTCCAAACTCTATAGCAACAACAACATGAGGAATCGCTCTGATACTGATCCATTCATTCTTAGCCAGCTGACGTCTACTCCCATGCACCACCGTGACCCTCATCGCCCCGGGCTGCAAGTCCAAGCCCCTTGCTCTGCCCCGATGGAGCGTAGGATGATCATAACTAACGGCAATCACACGAGTAACCTAGTGGTGCCGGGTCAGGCGCGGTCCAGCACGCCGCAGCGGTTGTTTGGCCGCCAGGGAAAGCCCACAAACAACCAAAACAATCTGAACCAACCGGTACAGATGATTGACGGCTCCACCAGCAGTGGCACCGACACCAGCGACACAGAGTCGGACACTGGCAGCAGCGCGTACAGCCAGCCGTTAATGTACGGCAACCCTGCTGCCGTCAGCTCCCGGAATTCGGTCAACTCAAATGTGGCAAACTCGTCGTCGCCGCTGCCTTGCAGCAAGTTCTCCTTCGGGAGTCTGCAGCTTGAGGAGGGGGAGGGAGAGGAGGAAGGATGTTACCGCTTCAATGAGGAAGATATCGGCGGCCGCGTTTTTAGCTGCTGAGACGGATTCGTAGAAGAAGTAACTGATCCTCGAATCATACGTTATTATGCAAAACAAATATAATACTGTTATGTAGGAATCATAAGATCTTAATTAAATATAATACAGATAATCAACTTTTTTAAATCTCCAGTCCATCAATCTTTAAATATTAAAATAGAAGTTGTTCTAGTTCACCTTTTTACACTAGATTTGCTGTGATACACTTTTTTAAGCAAATACTCATTATATTTTTAGAATTTTTGTCGCATTTTTTAGCTGTGACACATCCAATATTTGTAAACCCCCCCCCACTCCCCAGGATTTTTGTAATTTTCTATACAAGCCCCTTAGTAAGCTTCAGTTTAACTTTACACGTTGAACCTCTTGCTGGCTATTCCTCTTAAGGATAATCGATATAAAAGCCTCGAGGCAATTTAGCCGGCGCTGTGAGAAGTTATAGAACAAGCAAATGTGAAGGTTTAAGGAAAAACTTCCTTGCAATGTGCCATAACTTAAAAACTGTGTAGACGTTTGCGCAGGTGAACAGGGAAGACTGTGCAGAATTGTCATTTTTCTGAGAAAGTAATCGCTGTAATCATTTAATAGCACTGATGTCATTTAAATCAGTCTAATCCATTTAGGAGAAAGTTACTAAGTTCTGTAAATGAGAAAAGACGATGTTTTTATGTTGAAGCAGGAGAGAATAGATTTCTTGGTGGTTTCTGGGTGAAATGTGACGCTTCATAGCTTGATCTGAAAAGCTGTTGAAATGAGTCTAATAGGTTTGTAGAAATGCTGTTTCCCCCGTTCGTGGTTCTCTAATGTAGCATTTCCTGTAGAATCAGACTATTCTAATTATTTTACTGTCGTCTTGTGCAATAGAAGGGCTGTAAGAAAAATAGCTGGAGCCCGTCCAGGGATTTCAGTTGGAAGGGAAAGGCAGAGGCAGAGTGTGATCTTTCCCTTTAAGTGTACAGTGTATTTGAGTTCTATAGTTCCTGCTAGAGGATGGATTGTATTTAGAATGATACACTCAACTCGTAGGAGAATGTTTCATGTGTAATCGGATCAGTTGAGTAGGAGTGTCGTAGCTAATGGTCGGTAATGCCTTCTTATTCGGTTGAAGTCCTTTTCTTCTGAGCGCTTTTTCATGCTTTCATTGGATTGTCCGTCCTTCTGTTTGTCTAATTGGCAACTTGCACTGTAATTTGGATGTTTGTGGTAGAGAGTCCTCTTGTAATTCTCTTTTCTATTAGTGGAAGAGCAAGAATTTGAATAGATTCCATTTATATCTGTATTTTTGATGATAACCGAAGCTCCACACGTCTCAACATTTCTGCTTCAGATGCATTATCTGCTGTCGTCATTTCTTTCTATCATTCTTTTTTCTTTCTTCAACACATTTCACTATCGGTGACGAACAAGCGCAACAACTGTCGTCCACCAATCGTGACCATGTCCACCTGTCCGCTTTGCTTGGCTTGGCATTTGGCATGCACGACAACCACAAAACAGCGACAACAAAACTCACTGTTATCGTCTTTGGATGCTGTTTTCTCTTCTGTTCCGATGCTGTGTTTTGAAGCTGTGCTGGCCTCACATCCCCGTCACTGTCATTTGCTGGCTGTCTGCTCATGACAGACAGACACACACACACACACACACACACACACATTCTTAGGTGGATGATGATTTTCTTGCACATAAATTCAGCAAAAGAATAAAATTAAAATAACAAGGTCTGTGTTTCCCAAATCTCAAAAAGGAAAAACCATTCCAGCCTTTCGATTATGAAATGAATTGATATTTAGTGGTTTTAGCCAAAACATTTAACAATTATTTAAACTATTGCAATTAAATATAGTCCACAAAACAAGTCCATGACTTTTCTTGTAGCGCCACCAACAGAACAAAATCTCAATTTGTCTAAAAACTTAAGCCAATGACATTCCCATTATCTGTCGTTGTAAGTTGTGTTTCATGCAAAAATATGATTATGACAGTGGTAAATGTTTATACGAGTTAATCTATATCAGCATGTTAGCGAACTGATATTAGCATTAAGCTGGAGGGACCATGGGAAATACATATGCTCTATTGGATTAAGTTTGATTATATATTCTTCTTTTCAACATTTACAGTTTGCATACATACTTTTTTCGGACTTGAAATCTGATGCTGATCAATGACCTGACTCACAAAAGCTTCCCTCTAAATTGTGCCTACGATTTCTAAAACACATGGGTTCAAGCGATGGGGTGACTAAACTTTTTCATCCTCTAAACCTTCTCTTTCCTCAAAGCTACTGCTTCTTCCTGACACACAATGTTCATGCTTTAAAAAAATGTAAATGCATTGATTTCAAGCATGTTTTATGGGTGAAAACACTGTTTTCTCACTGTTTTCTTTTCTTTACTCTGATTGCATGTTAACAAGGCGAGCAAAGTCCCTGCTTCTCTGTTGTTCTGCTTCTTTTTTTTCCACTGAATCCGTCTCTGTTTCTGTCATGGGGCTCAAAAATGGTTTCACATATTTTAAGAGGCTTTCAGCGCAGTGACATATCCCAGTTAACCCTCATGATTAATTAACTGCTCCCTGTCTTTTTTTTTTTTAAATGCGCAGAAACCATTTGTTTTTATTGCCCCATTTTTTTTTTTCCTCATTGTGCACAAGTGTGAAACGGGGCTGACTCAACCCCAGTGCTCTTATAACATGATGAGAGGGCGACAGGCGACAGACACAAGTAAAGTGAAGCTTAATGCAAATGTACGTGTAAAAAAAAAAAAAAAAGATATTGATCTTTGAGAGATTTTGCAAGATGTGAAAGTCTGAGTATTGTCAGAAGATGGACACACATGCACATACATGCACCTGAACACTGGAGTTGAGTCCACCTTGTGTTCCCTTTCACTGCCTGTCACCTAATAGCACAGCACTTCACTTCCATTGAGGTTTTTTGTAATTTTCATGTACTGTACAAACAGTAACACATTGATAGATTGTGATTTTGTATTGTTAATGGATTTAATCAGATCCAAATTGACTAGATTTACTTAAAAGAGAAAAATGATTTTAGTTTATTTTATATACACACTGTGATGATGGGATCGTGTTCGGCTGCTTGAAGCTGTTGTTGGATGTTTTTTGGGGTAATGTGCGTATTTTACTTCAGATAAGAGGATTGATACAGCTCTTGTGTTTGTGAAGCCAGTTAACTTATCTAAGTAAAAAGACTGGAAATGGATAAGCAAGGCCAGAGGTTCTTAATTTCTAATTATATTCAACTCATATAGCTAGAAATAATATGTGCAGGGCCAGGCTAGGAAATTTCCCTCTGTTTCCAGTCTTTATGCTAAGCTAAGCTAACCAACATAGATTTACCCTACAGGCATGAGAGTGGTATCAATAAGCTTATTTCCCCAAAATGTCAAACTACATTCTTTAAATTAGTCTATTAAATTTTTGAACTTTTACGCATCACATCTGTGCTTCTTTCTGCTTACATATTTTTACTGACTTCGGGATAAACCAGCTTTCTGGCTGTTCTTCCGATTTTGCTGGTTTGCAGATTGGTGGCGGCTTTAGTTTGTCTGTCTCGTATTCACTTGATTTCCCATGGTGCACGCCAAAGCTGCAGCACGCAGTGCTTGTTGAGCAACAGGCACGTATCATCTCTAAAAGCTTGAAATCCTGATAAATACTGGACATGCCGAGGTCAACCTGCTGCCAGATTAGCTGAAGACCTGCCAAAAAAAGTATTTAAATCCCTGTGCAAACGAAATGCATTGTTTGAAATGATCCGTTTCCTCTTTAACGCACACTGTACGGCATGAAGACGCACAGGCTCACTGGGTTTCTGTCACTCTTGTAACACTTTGTATTCCTGCACAGCCTTTTTTTTTTCTCTACCCTTCATCTCTCTTTTTTCCAACACTGTAACTGATTGTGTGCACTAGTGTCAATAAAATACGACCTTGTATGTTCGAAGAAAAAGGGACTCCGAAATTTTCTGTGGAGGGGAGGACCCCTGCCCCACCCTGTCATACCCCCACCCACTCACCCCCGACCCGGTTGAGTCGTGAACCCCTCCCCGTGTTCTGTGTCGTGGTAGCTAGACTGTAGAGTAGTGTTTAGTTTGGTGTTCGCTGTGCACATGTGAATTCCATACGTCTGTTTTCTGTTCGCTCGCTGTGTCACCCGTCTTGTTTCTGTGTCCTGCTAGTTTTTAGTTGTTGTTGTCTGCGTGGTGGTGAGTTCTTTTATAGCACCCGTCACAGATCTGCACTCAGTGGTTGCCATGGTTTTTTACCCATGATCCAGTTTGGTGTGTAACAGTGGACTCTTTGGATGCTTTGCACCTGGGCAAGTATAAAGTCACAACTTGTAGTAAAACCTCTGTAGCGACTCTGTAGTGAAAAGTTTTGATTCTACTTTTCCAGGTGATGTAGTCAGACCAGACTCCTGATAAACAACATCTAATTTTAGGCAACACGACTGTTAAAGATCATACTGTAGTTCATCGTAAGGGAAATAGAAAGACACGATGCAGTTCAAATAGCTTTTCAACCTGGGCTTGAAACAATTAATCAATCAGTGGATTGACAGATGGCCTTGAAATATTTCTAATTCAATTTTCAAGCAAAAAAAGGAACAATTTGCAGTTTCTTCAATGTGAGAATTTGCTGGACATTTTTCAAATTACATGGAACAAATTGCTGTTAATTGGCAAATATTTGGCATAGTTTGCATTATTTGTCTTTTTACTTTCCCTTATAATGCACTGATATGCTTAAACGGCTTTAGTATAAAACATAGCTTCTTACTAACCTGCCACTTAAAATGAATAGTTTTTTTCCATCCTTCTCTCTTTATTGTGTAGACACAGCCTTGAGTTGAGGGATCGTAACATTTTTGTCATGTGGCGACCTGCTGGAACAAAGCAGCTGCTCAGTTTGTGTCCTGACTCATAGTTAAAGATTGACTGCGTGGGATGGTCGATCCATGAAATTCATTGCCATGCTGAGTGGGTACACTCATTCAGAGAATATGCTCACATCTTGAGCTTTTAAATCCAGAAACCATCTCCTCACAGTTGCAGTGAATTTCATGAATTCAGCTTTTATACTGTATGTAGATTCTCTACAATAAGACCATCCCTTATCCTCTACTACCATCTTGTCTCACTCTTTTTCTCTTCTGTCCTCCTCTTCCTCCCTTTTTCCATTTCCCTATCTTTCCCCCGCCTGTCCTCCCACAGGAAGTCCCGGCTCAGACGACTCTCCGCTGGGAAGTCCCCGCCTGGTGGGCAACGGCTCTGTGAATGGACAAGAGATGGGCAGCACCGCTGTCCTGGGCTCGGGTCAGATTGCGGAGGGACAGCAGATATCGCCGCTCACCAGCCCGCTGCTCACTGAGGCCGGATATGTCCGCAACGAGGAGGAGGAGGAGGCGAGGAGGAAGGTGGGCAAGCCGACTAATATGACAGCAATCCCCACTCCCTCTTAAAACATTTTTTAAAGAATTTCTTAACCTGCAGAACTTGACGAACAAAACCATGAATCATAAACTTGCTTTTATGGGTTTCACAGTCAATAAAGCCGACAATACTTAAGAGATTGATTGAATCATGGGTCGATGGATGGATCCGTCTAATCTTTCCGTTTATGTCCAGAAGTTTCCCACAGACAAGGCCTACTTCATCGCCAAGGAACTGTTGACCACGGAGCGGACCTACCTCAAAGACCTGCAGGTCGTCACAGAGGTGAGGACTTTGAGATGTGTCTCTATCCACATGTTCCGTCCTTTTCGTAAGAGCTGCTCCGACCAAGCATAAACACATTCCCTTGAGTAGACAGCCCGGCAGAGCATGCAGAGACACGGAGGCCAAATTTGGTCTCTTAAAAGCCTTAGTTCTGGATTAGTAAGTCAAAGCTGGTCTACTGAAAGTAGCATGTGTTGACAAGATTTTGGTTTTTGGGATTCTACGGCTGGAACAGAATTGAATGACATAAATATTACATTGTGTTATCCATCTGCTTTTTACTCCCACCCTGAAAAGTTGGCTTCATTTGCGTTTAGTTTGGACCAAGACTCAACATCTAGATCTTTATGATCAGAAGCCAGTGTTTTAAAGCTCCTTGTTTTATAAAAAAAATTCATCTCCTTTTCTTCCAGCAAGCTTGTATCTTGTTTGTTCTTTAAGACTAAATAGACGATTAGCTCCAGCCTCTTTGGTTTACAAGTAAAACCACAAAAAGAGGGAAAAGTCACTGCATACATAAACACAACGTCTAGATCCTGAGTCCTGGGATGAAAGTGCATTTTAATCTGATTCCTCGCTGCTGTCTGTGTTTTTCCCGACAAATTAGAGGGAAATTAGGAGCAGAGGTAAATGTCAGTTTGAAGCACCTGCCTGCATCACCTTAATATAACGACGCTGACCATGACATCTGACCTCAGCGTGGAGCAGAAAACGATATCTCATCTCTCCTCTCCTGTGCCTTTCTCTCCGTCGCCACTGTTTTCCTTCACAACAGTAGTTTCCACCCTCTTTGATGTGGGAGGAAGGCGTGCGCTGGTGCTTTTTTAAAACCTCTTAAATATTTTCTTTGGCTGGCACTACCGAAGCCTGAGCTCCCACACCCCTCCCTCCCTCCCTCCCTCCCTCCCTCCCTCCATCCTTCCCTCTCTCTCCCTTCTCGCTGTCACCCCTCCTCTTGAAGCAGCTGGACATCTATCTGCCCCGCCGTCATAATCGCTGGGGGGTGGTATAACACCTCTGTGTCAGGGGTTGTAGTGCGCTGGCTTTGGGCCACAAGGATCATGTTTGTGTGTCTGTGTGCATGTAGCTGATGGATTTCCAAATGTCAACGTGCTCTCAAATCAGATCACTTGTTTTGACACACTGTCCTCTTCACTCTGGGGACTGCTGGGATCATAACAGTTTCTTGTGTGTGTGTGTGTGTGTCCATCACAGTCCTTCCAGAGCTCTGTGGCCAAAGACGAGGCGTTCCCAGACCCCGTTCAGAACCTGATCTCTGCCAACTACGATCCCATCCACAAGTTTCACCAGGGATTCCTCAAAGAGGTGGAGCAGCGGCTGGCTCAGTGGTCAGTGTCCGTTAACTGTTTAACATTGTGTAACACTGTTTTCAGTCCAGAACTCCAGGAAATGTTCCTTCCACATCACAACACAGCAGGAGGTCATCTGGGTATGATACGTTCACAATTGGAACATTTCTGGAACATGCAGGTGCAGTTTGTCACCTGGATAGAGCATGCAGGAATAAGGAAATAATGTTTTTGAGTTTACATCACAATGACAACAACGTCAACACACCCAAGTTGACATCTTCGTCAGTATTTGCTACGTGTATGGCTCCTCTTTTTCATCCTGAGATATTTGTATTCTTGCAGGTTAGCGTCTGTCACATGTAAGAAACGTAATCGGCACGACATTTTCCTGCTGTATTCTCACGTGGACTCACTCAGATTTGAATTATATTATATGATACATTATTAATTTAAAAAATCCACACACGACCCCTCTGGGAAATATCAGGAAAATGTCTGGACTTCAGTGCACATCTGAAAGCAACTTATGTTTAAGTTTAAATGTCTGGAAATGTATATTTTAGATATTTTACGAATAAAAAGATGAGCATTGGGTTCTACATGTTTATTTATTTATTTTATTTATATAAGACTAATTGGATAAGGGATGAAGTCACTGTTAAGTCACATGCCATCAACACCACGTGCCATTTAAATTCAGATTTAAGAAACGTTAGGACGTGGAAGAAGAGCTCAAGTCTTAGTTTGTGACGTCACTGCATGGTAACCAGTGTGTGCACACACTCATGGCTGCCCTCATCTCCTCCTGTGGGAATCTGCTCTGTGTTATTTTACATAATGACAGACAGGAGGACAAACTGTGTGTTTGGAGAGGAACCAAGGTCTTACTGGTGAATATGAATGGGATGATGGGAATTTAGAGATTTTCCAGTCATATGTGAGGAACTTGCTCTGGCCTGACACCTACTGGTTGATAATAAACTTACTGTCTTTTTGTCTTTTCACAGGGAGGGTCGCTCAAACGCCCACATCAAGGGAGACTATCAGCGGATCGGTGATGTTTTACTGAAGAACATTCAGGGTCTGAGGGTAACTATGGCTCCCTTATACTTTATCCATTCATTGTGTGTGTGAAATCAGGATTTCAGGGTTAAATGGGTGATTTTATTTTTCCCATATCCTTAAACTCTCTCTTGTCTCTTTTGCATGTGCAGCAGTTGACCGTTCACCTCCAGAAACATTCAGAGTGTCTGGTTGAACTGGAACGTGCCTGCAGGTGAGAGAAGAAAAGCTGTATTCATGCAAACTTTACCGGCTGGTGTTGTAAGAAATGAATGCACCGATAAATTAGCTAAATTTCGAATGAAGTCTGGCGGAATTATTTGCCTATTAGCACTATATATTTGTGTAAAATTTTACATTAAAGGAGAAGTTGAATTTTTGGTTTTAGAACATATAATAATGATAATTAAGATTCAGAACATAAAGCATTTAGAAACAACTGATTTCTACTTTAGCTTACCTATTTTTGAGATCCTCATTTGTGGCCTAAAGATGACACTTTTAAAAAGAAGAGAAAGATTTAGTTCCTTAAGTTTAGTATCCATTAAGTGGATGTAGATAAGTGAAATGTGAAACTTTTTAAACATTCTATGGAGATAAGGGTGAAATAAAAGATCACAATATAAAAAATATCAGAATATTAAAGGGAAAAACTGAAATATTCTCTTTTCCTGGAATAAGTGGTAGAAAACACTCAAAAGTAAAGTTAAGCTGCTGAAACACATGTTCCTGGTATATTTTGACGCCAAATTTGGTAGAATTTATGAGAAGAAACTTTGCGACTGTCCTCAGGTCCGGTCGAAAAGTGGAGACTCTGTGTCGAGACTTTGAGCAGCAGAGGGTTTGCTACCTGCCCTTCAACATCTTCCTTCTGCGACCGCTCCATCGCCTGCTGCACTACAAACTCATCCTGGAGAGGCTCTGCAAGCACTACCCACCCACGCACGATGACTTCAGGGACTGTAGAGGTGTGGGACAGGGCTGGGGTGAAGAGGAGGATGCGTTTCTGTTTTTTTTTTATCCCCTTACCATCTCTGCCCTTGTCTTCTTCCCTCAGCGGCCCTGGCGGACATCACTGAGATGGTGCTGCAGCTTCAAGGCACCATGATGAAGATGGAGAACTTCCAGAAGCTCCTGGAGTTGAAGAAAGACTTGACCGGCATCGACAACCTCGCCATTCACGGCAGGGTTCGACCATTTACATTTATTTATCAGGGAGAGGACACTTTGGTGTTCTTAGGGAGACAAAAAAAAATTCTCATCCTGCTGATTTCTGCAGCTCTAATATTTTCTCATGCTCCACTTCCAGGAGTTCATCAGGCTCGGCTGCCTCAGCAAGCTCTCAGGAAAGGGACTTCAGCAGAGGATGTTCTTCCTGGTACGACCACACGGCTACTTAGCAGAGCATTTATTATATTGATGCAACAAAAATGCAACTGACACTTCTTTCCTTCCTTCCCTTTGTTTTCATCCCTCAGTTCAGCGATTCCCTGGTGTACACCAGTCGAGGGACAACCCCGGTCAATCAGTTTAAAGTTCACGGCCAGCTGCCCCTTTATGGCATGACGGTATAATCTTTTTCTTTTCTTCTGGGGAATAAAATGAGTTTGTCGTCATTCTATGTCAGCATTATACATTTGTTTATATGCACGAACTGTAAATTCTCCATATTTGTGATTACTGAGGTCGACCACAAAGATGTTGGCACATATAGACACCATTAGTAGGTTACTGATGGTTTTGTTTGAAATATATTATCAAGTTGCATTTCAGTGTGTGTGTCTGTGTGTGTCTGTGTGTGTTTCTGCAGATCAGGGAGAGTGAGGAGGAGTGGGGAGTCCCTCATTCTTTCACCTTGTTCGGACAGCGCCAGTCAGTGGTGGTGGCAGCCAGGTACACACACACACACATATTTTATTGTAGAACAAAGTCACAGTTTTACCAAGAAGTTGAAAAACACCACAAAATCGATATGTTAGATAAAAAGAGAGAAAGAAAAGAAAATGGATGAAAACTTAGAGGAATAAAGAAATCAACAAACCACATTTCTCATGAAGCCTCATTGAAAATAAATCTTTTCTCCACAGGACCTCTGCCACACTTTGTTTGTCCTCTAATGAAATTTAACTGTGTGACCTAGTTTCCATTCAGACACTCATGCACTGATGAAAAAGTTTTTAATACGCAGATTTCACTGCTTAGTGCTGACTTTATTTCAACTTATTTTCCCCACGCGCTCTCTTTCCCTTGGTTTTATCGACTATAATCTTTTTCTCATTTTCCGTCTGCAGCTGTGCGTCGGAGATGGAGCGGTGGGTGGAGGACATCAGGATGGCGATCGACCTCGCAGAGCAGAGCAGCAGCCCCAGCGATGACCTGCTCTCCACTAGCCTCACCGACAACAGTGAGTAAACCTTTTGAGCATCAAACCCAAAACGCCTGCTCCTCCAACCCGCTGCTCAAACATTGCGTCATCTTCGAGGACGAGTTGAGTTTCTGGAAAAGGTTTCCACAGTCAGCATCCACGATGTCTCCGAAGACATCAGGTGACACAGCGACATCAGCTGGGACCTGTTATCTTTACTGACTTACTACTGACTCCCACCGGGGAAGCACTGACCTTTACCTACAGCTATAACTGCACAATTCCCACAATTCCACACTGCAGCTTTCAGCACCACATGAATTGTTACAGGTGGTCTTTCATCATATTTGTCACCTGATACACGTAGGTCCCACCTGTCGCCCATTATTCCTCCCCTTCTTCCTCCTCATTCTTTATCTTAAATGCCTGTCACCCCGCTCAACGAGGCCTCCGCCTGGTGACCTTCGGTTCGACGTCTCTTATTGTCAAACAGTTGAAGAGTATTAATTTACCAGCAACAACAAAAGGGAGATTTTTTTCTCCTCTTTTTTTCTGTGTTGAAATTGCTTTGATCACTGTTTTGTCTCAGCTCTTTGTTCTGTGGCATCTTCATCTGCAGCCACAGTGAATACAAGAATACGTAGAGGGGTGTTACCGTGTATTAGAGCTGCAAGATTCTGGAAAAGATGAGAGTCACGACCCTGTTCCATCATCAGCGTGTTATCTTCTGGATTCAGTTCATTGTTTCTTTTCTCTCTCACTACCTCTGCATAACGTGAGAGAAAACCAAGATGACGCAGTATTGTGTGGTACTTTAGGTTCCTTTTGGAAAATGTAGGGGCGCTTGTTTTGTTCAAAATTAAACTTAAGCGCAATCATTGTCAGTCAATCAAATAAAATTCTATAGGTGTGAATCAAAGTTTAATCGAGCTGCACTGCTGTGTGTTTAGAGTTGAATCTCATTCATTTATATTTTACAGTTTTATAAACATCTTAATATTGTTAGGAGCTAAATAATAAAATTAATTTATCTTATAATTATCAAACAATTATGATATTTAGGATTAAAAGTCAAAGAGTATTAAATTAAAGTTGTTGAAACCTGCAGAAACCTCGATGAAAGTTAGACTCTACTAATTATTGATCTTCAATATATAAAGTTGTTGTTTCCTGTAAATGGTCTGTTCTTTAATCATATATTCATTTATTCATCTTTTAATATCAGAAATAGTTAAATAAGTGGAGTGTTTTCACTATATAATGACAATAGTTCCTTACTATAGCAGTATTTTATCCAAATACCAAAATGCTGTTAATATTAGATCATGGTGTTTGACTTGTCTCCGCTAACGAGAGTCTCGTTCCACAGAGCTGTCGGAGGACGGCGTGGCCGAGCAAGAGTCAGAGGAGGAGCTCTGCGGCTCGCGCTCGTCCCTGGAGCGCCAGGGTCACCGCGGCAACACCACCGTGCACGTCTGCTGGCACCGCAACACCAGCGTTTCCATGGTGGACTTCAGCGTCGCCGTGGAGGTACGGCGCTGTGTGTTCTGTGTCCCGTGGTCGCCCTCTCCCCCTCCTCGTATCACTCTTCCCGTCCTGTCTTCTGTAGCTGTCCAGTGTGAAATGTCCATGGTGTCTTACTCTTCTCCTCCTGTCTTCTGTCCACATCCTGTCTTTCCTCCACCTCTCTGTCTCCATCCATCTCTTCCGCCCTCTTGACTTTCTCTCTCCATCTTCCATTCCCCTGCCCGTGCTGAAGGGGGCAGTAGTGCTTACCAGTGAGTCGATGAGACCCCTCAGCAGACACCAGGGGCCCTTCTCTCCCTCTCTATCTCTCTGTGGTTCGCTGGTACAGGAGTTACAAGCTGTCCTTTAGTGACACCTGCTGGAGTAGAGAGGTATTGCAACAGCCAAAGAAATTAATTAGTAGAATTAAATAGATTAAATTGTTGCACAAATCCTGGTAACACAATTATTGGATATTAATTTCCTACTGTCCCAAAGAAATAGATCCTATAATCATTTCTGAAATGGGATTATTTTCTATTGTTGTCCTTTGTGTCTTTTCCCTCAAATTCTAGAATACAGAGTTGTGTGCAAAAATGAAAACAAGCCTTCAAATAAACCCCACAGCTTCTTAATATTTGCATTCATCTGAGCGTCGTGGTTTCTGGCTTCTCTTCTTCATCTTTTTCTATCCATTTTTCTTTCATCGTTTTATTTTTTCTGTCTCTCGTCTTCTTTGCCTCCAGAACCAGCTGTCAGGGAACCTGCTGAGGAAGTTTAAGAACAGTAACGGCTGGCAGAAGCTCTGGGTGGTCTTCACCAACTTCAGCCTCTTCTTCTACAAGTCACATCAGGTTAGAGACATAGAGGAACCAACTGGAAACTATGCAGTATTCAAGTTTCCTTTTGGTTTGAGAACATAGCTGTGGCGAAAAGTTGAAATGTTTCTGCCCTGCAGGATGACTACCCTCTGGCCAGCCTCCCTCTGCTGGGCTACTCCGTCACCGTCCCATCCGAGTCGGAGAACATCCACAAAGATTACGTCTTCAAACTCCACTTCAAGTCCCACGTCTACTACTTCAGATCAGAGAGCGAGTACACATTTGAAAGGTACAGCCCTTTGGGTGTTCAGTCGTTGGGGGGGTTGAGTTGAATCGATTCCATTCACACTGGGTCAAATATATATTCAGTTTTATCCTCAGCAAGAAGAGAGACGTGGTTTGACTATGTGGAAATCCTCACATTGTGTTGAATATAGCTCCACATTTATATTAATATGACCCTTTGTGTATTCATTTGTTATCTTTATGTTTTTATTTTGATATCTTAATTTAAATTATATTTATACCAAGAACCAACAGAAGCCCTGAAATAAATATTTGCTTGTTAGACCTTAATTTTAACTTGATATCATACATTTTATTTATATAGTTATTTTAACAATGCTCAAAGTCACTTTACTTTGGTTAACAAACAGAAAATAATAGAAAATAAACATCATTAATCAAACATTAAAAGCAGCTCTGAATAATTTAATGTTACAATATTCTATGTCGCCTGCAGTTTCTTTAAATTAAATCGACTTTCTTATGATTTAAACCGTTGTCCTCACAAATAACAGCATCTTGTGAAGTTCAATAATACATGGACATGAATAATAGCAACAATTTAATACAACTACGTGATTTGTTTAGTCCTGAGGGATGAGAGAATAATTGATTATCTTGATTTATGTCACCAATTGAGTTTGTTTTTCATCTTAACTGAGTTTATCTCGTCTCCAGGTGGATGGAGGTGATCCGCAGCGCCACTTGCTCCTCCAGCCACTCGCTGCCGAGCACCAGGAAAGACCTTTACTGATGAACCGGCTCCTTCGTCTCTCCTCTTCCTCGCTCTGACCTGGACTTCAGACGCCAGAAAAAGACTCTTTCTTATATTCACAGAATCATGTCACAATCCACACTAATCATCACGCACGTCACTCAGAAACTTCACCTTGTGATCACATCATATCGCAACGTTTTTGTTCGTCAAACTGCCAACAAAAAGTCGACGATGTTTTCCTTCCCGATTCTTATTGTTGACTCCACGCTTGTGCTGTCACATGAGTGACATTCACACACACACACATGGATTTAACAACATCCCCGTTTACAAAAAGGAGGATTTTATCCCTTAAGTATTACTTTTTGACTCAATATAATATTTCCTAGGTGATTTTAAATATTCTATATTTTCCTGTAGAGCACCGCATTTGTGATAAGGATTCAAACATGTACATAAAATGGCTTGAATAAGACTAGGATTGAAATGAACTGTATGTGGGAATCTGTGTGCATGTGAACACACTCATTTCTTTGAATGACAATCCATAATTCATTTGATGAATTCAATGTGTCGCCAGATTGGAAAACATCCATCTCCCCTTTTTTTACGAGTGACTTTTTGTACAGTACTTTGATACACTGTGAAATGTTCTTTCTCTTCTTTTCCTGCGAGTTTTCTCTAAAAAGGACAAAACGGCTTCAGACGCCGACTGAGATTTCACTGGTTCGTTGCCAAAAAAGCGTCTCTCCTGTATTCCCCCACTTTTTTTTTTTCAGTGTATTTTACTATTTTAAATAAAGATGAGAAAACATTGTGTTCATAAATAAAGAAGAAAAAAAGAGAGAACAACCCAGAAGATGGATGTGTTTTGTTTTAATGTGGTTTTCATGAACACAGCCCCAGGTGGAATTATTTTAGAACAACACATCACGAGGGAAAAAGGATTTCAAAGGAAAATACTCCAAAATAAAAGCAGAGCAGGGGCGTAGAATAGGCAAACCTAGATTTGGGTGGTTGGTTGATCTCACAGCACGAGAAAACTTGGGGATTGGAGCGTAGTGATGATTTTATTCGTATCTTTTACAGAATGTGCCATTGGTGAAACATGATTTGCCTCCAGGCATCAGTGCATTAGAGAACAAGAGAAACTGAACAGTAAACATACAGTAGTACGAGGAATGCCCTTTTGAAACATTGCAACATTTCAGTGTTTTTAAGTATTTAAAATGAGGTGATTCAAGTAGAAACCTGCAGTTTATGATCCTCTTATTAACACATGTTTAACCCTGACGATGATATATGAGGAAACTGGTCTATTTATCTTCTTTAACTGGTCACAGATCTGCCATTAGATATTCTAATAAATGGATTTCTAAAGATACAGAACATATTGTAGGAATTCAAATATAAAGTTTCTGGTTAGATCATGAAAATAAAGACATCTCTGTTTAGCTGATGCTCTTCTCCATCAGTCTCGAGCTTCTCTGGTTGCGTACTCCAGCCCGTGATCTCCATACGCGTCGTAGTTGTCGTAGTGGGGCAGCGAGGGCCAGTCTGGCTGATACACCGTTGTGCTGTACACAAATGCCTCTGTGATGCTGCCCGGTGCCTCCTCCTTCTCCTCACCCTCTGCCCCCCGAGCCTTCACCTCCAACTTGACCAGAGTCCGCTGGTACAAGGTGGGGACGCCCTCGAAGTCATCCAGGAACCTCAGCATCTCGTCGTCCACCTCGTAGATCTCTCCGTGAACTCTGCGACCCTGGCCAGGGATGTTGAGGAGGAAAGGGATGTTGTGCTTGCTGGCGATCACGAGCGGGTACCTCTCAGCGGTGAGGGCCGAGGCCAGGAACTGGGCCTTCCCATTGGCACTGTCAAACATGCGGTAGTAGTTGGGTTGCCCTTTCTTCAGGGTGCCGTATACGAAGATGCGAGTCATGAGGACGCAGGAGGAGAGACGCACCTGGAGCATAAAAGAAAAATAACATTTGAATACAGTTTTTTACAGGACTGTAACAAATGAATCATAGAAAATAAAGGAAACAAACAAACAAAAAAGTGCAGCTGGGAGAACCCTCATCTGAGCAACCACACACAAAAAGACACATGATGGGACTTAACATAGAGAGAACATGTCCTGGACTTTGTTCCTGGAAAGTTAATCTGTGAGTGTGTGATAGGGGTGAGATCATTAAAGCTGTAAAGGTCATTCAAGCACAACAAACACAACAGTATTTAGTGCTGCAAAGTTAAAAGTTAAGTAGGATAAAATACTCTGCTGCAAGTACTTACTGTCCTGGATTCATGGTTTTACTTTATTAAAAAATAAAGTACCCCTATGTATTTCAGAGTAATATGTGCATTATATCAGTGGATAATTCTAGTTATTGATGCCTTAAAGTGATCACTGTGGGTCTTACCTTTAAGATTGAAGTTTCCACAGGAAACAAAGTCCTCACCTGTAATAAGTACACATATATATTTATTATTTGTATTTGTTTTGTGTGTGTAATAGATCTGAATGTGAAAAATCAACGAGAATTTCAGCTACGGTTGGATTAATACAAATACACATATTATAGTTACGAGTATAATAATAATAATAAAATAGGTACCCGGAACTGTGCAGCTGTCAGTACTAGAAATCGGTCAACTGCTCCTGTATGTGTCCTTCGGCTTAACACACATTTAACCACACGAACTGAACTGTACACACTATACGGCACACACAAATATACAATCACACACTTCAACAGTCCGATCGGAGTTGTGTTGTGTTGTGTTAGCAGTAGCTCGTCGGTTGATTAATGAGCTACAGACACAATTAAAAAAAAAAGAAGCAATACCGGAAGTGCACTCACGCACGCGCAGTAAAAGTCGAGCTAAAGTGGAGCAAAAAAAAACAGCAGGGGGCGCCAAAGGGAAGAGGAACACCCAGAACACCGAATGTATTATTATTATTCTTAGTAGTAGTGGTAGTAGTCTTATTGGTTTTATTAATATTATTATCAAGTATTGTATTTACTCGAGGGTTGTACTTCACTCAAATCAGTGTAGATAAATATTTTATATTATATTTTATTTCATCAGGATAATTTAAGTTATTATTATTATTATTGTATTATTAATGACCATTTTTTTAACGAGTATTATTTCCACATTAAAAAGATAAGCATGTATAAAAACTGCAGTTTTCCTCGGATTCTTCTGACCGACGTCGCTCACGCACGCTGACGTCAGTACGTCCGCAGCCTAGCAGCAGCGGTGCACACGGCGTAAACAAAGCGGGGAGCCACAAACCAGGCTAAAGCTAATTAGCTGCTGTTCCGTGAGTAAAACAGCCAATGCGGCGGCTCTAGATCAGCCGAGAAAACAACAGCTTCTTTATACCGATGCATTACAGCTTCTGTTTCTATCGGAACAGACTCACTCGTGTGTTGAGACTGGAATTAAACGCGTTGAGAAGACACCGCTACAACTAGCTGCATTAGCTTCAGCGAGCCTAACTAACGGGACAAGGATTTCAAGTTTCTGGAAGTCACTCAGATTACACGTTTATCGACAACACACGTGGCGACAGACGCTTGATTCTCCATCGCTGCTCATGTCGATCTCTTATAAACATGCCAACGTTGATGCGAATACGAGTTAGCTCGCTATGTAGCTAATTGAGGTTTCAGGGTGGATCAGCTGGCCGTGAGAGGCTCGATCCAGGTGTGACCGGGTCCTGGCCGAAGGGACACCCGACCACAGTGATCTGGAGTCGGACTGAGATGTTCAGCCTCATGGCGAACTGCTGCAATTGGCTAAAACGTTGGCGACAGCCGGCCAGGTGAGTTGTGTGATGTTAGAAAGCTAAAGCCTGTGATTCTTCTGCACTAATCAAACTTAGATAGATGCAAACAGATTGTTTCAGGAGTTAAATCAGAGGAAAAATCTCAGTCTCTCTCCACTCATTAATTCAGTTCCTATAAATTACCAGGGAAATACTTCTGTAGATGTTTGCAAATAAGAGACTATCTCAAAACATGTCTGCAGGATTTTGAGACTTTTGGGGGCTCATGCTCAGTAAAATTCATATCTTGTATATATGACACCTTACAATCTATAAGCACTCCCACAAGAACAAAGAGGGAAGTAGAAATTGGCACTAAGATCTCAGATCCTCAATGTAAAGAGGGATTCATTGATGCACTTATAATGAAAGGCATTTTTTTAATCCAATTAAACATTTTAAAGAGAGATTGAATGATATTCCCAGAAGACACACTTTACTCCATAGTTTCACCCTATGCCTTAAAGCTCCGAATTACTGCTTCAGTATCTTCAATTTAATAGCCCAAATACTTCAGATACGATTAAGACCGAAAGCCCTCTCGATCATCCAGGGTATATCCGATTAATTCAAAAAAAGATTAAGTAATACAAAATAGTGTTTCCTATTTTACAGCCTCATTATTGAAAATAAACTGCCTTTTACACACTGGGGGAAAAAAGAGGTCCTTAATACTAAGATGTGGCTTAGTGACCTCACAAATACACTTTATTTAGAACGGACAAGCTTTAGTTTTTCCTTGAATTGAACATTTGTGCTCCCTTCATTCACTTCTTTTCACATAGAATATAAAACTTAAACTTAAGTCAGACATCTGATATGTGTTTAGCAGTTGTATTATAATAACAATACAGACTCTAAGAACAAACCTTGTAGACAGACTGTTTTTTAAGGGCATCAAATGCACACCACAAACCTATTTCTTGTGATGATTGTTTTATTTTGTGCAATATAATAAGAATCTTTCGTGAATTATGATGATAGGAAGCTACTATACCTGTCTACAGATATTGTGGGAGATGCTATGATAATCTGATGAATCAATAAGTCAAATGAACATCATTAAATTATCATTTGAATAATCAAATTCTATCCTCTCCAATTTAAGAATGTTCTGACTGTCTGATAATTTGTTTTTAGATTACATTTCTTTGGTTTTGGGCTGTCGGTTGTATAAAACAAGACCTTTAAAGCTTTGTCATTTGGTTTTTTGGGAAAATGCAATTGACATTTTTTATTATGACATTGTAGAAGCCAAATAGACAAGTCATAAATGGAGAAAACAATCTGCATAGTGAACAATTTAGATAATAAGTTGGTTGCAGCCCAATCATCCATCATACCTTAGAAAGGATTCAGTGTCTCCTCGGTTTTGTTATTTTAGTAAACATAGTCTCAGTTTTTTTTTATCTGAGGTGTCTTTGATAACTGTTTACACTAAAACGAGAAGGTGTGGCGCACTAAGATGTAATTGACGATGCTTAACCCACGTGGTACCTGTGAGCCATCTGATCCTTTGGATTTAGTCAGAAATCCTTCACTAATCCTGCAGGCAGGTCTGTTCAGTGCGTCTCTTCCTTATGGCCCGTGGCTGTGACGAGTTTGTGTCACCGAGGGCAGAGGTGTTATGGGTTAGTGGACAGGGCACAAGAAGCGTCTCCACTTTTTTGGAGGTTTACTTAAGATGATGAAGGCAAGTTGGCTCCAGAGGACGGTCAAATGGATTGTGCGGTTGTTGTCTTTTCGGCGCAAGTTTCAAAGTTAAGTATGAAGCCAGTGGAAGATTTGAATGTTGCTTATGCTTTGTCATCACAGTGATGCCTCATCTACCAATATGGTGCTTTTAATGTCCCATTTTTTTATTTCTCTTTATTCCTTTTGATGGATCCTTTCATAAAGTGGCTCCAGGATGTAATATATTATTGTGGAGCTGTAACGCTAAATATTTTGGACAGGTTAGTTGCAAACTTTCGTATTCTTTTATAAATATTTTGTCCTTGTTTTTATAAATTCTCACTAAGATATCTGGAAAATTGAGAAACCCGGTGGTAAATGTTGTTACCGTGCCGTCTTGCTGTCCAGGCGTCTGCATGGTGCAGTCCTGCAGAGACGACTGAGCGTGCATCTGTTCCTTTGTTTGCCTGTGTTGTCCTGCAGGGAAGTTCATCTTGGCTAACAATACAAATACCCGGCCCAGCATGTATTTATTTGCCTTCGGGGGACTTGAAAACAAGATATGTTGTTCATTTTACATGCAGTGACATATTCATTCCATGAGAAAACACAAAAATGAAGTCCACAACCTGGTAATATCACAGCGAAACATGCAGTTTAACCTTGATATTGAGAATAAGTCATTATACTGTATTTGAATGTTTTAGATTAATTTGTTTTCACTGACCTTGTGACTGTTGCTGACTCAGTCAGCCTGCAGACATCTGATTGCATTGGTCATTCAGATTATTAACTGGCTGACCCCCAAATGCGTCATGGGCACTAATGCCAAGTGGATTCTGTGTCACGGACACAGCACATTTAGATGCAGGGCACAGCAGACGCCATCAGATGCCTCATGGTATTTGTAGTAAGGATGTTTGTGCACAATATCAACATGTTCAATTTTTCCCTTTCTTATCATACAGGAAAGTGACTCTGGTGATGGTGGGATTGGATAATGCAGGGAAGACTGCCACAGTGCGAGGGATCCAAGGAGGTTTGTTATAGATATTATAAGGTTTAGTCATCCTTATTTTTTGAACTGAAATAATTTAATATCATACAATTTCCCTTAACCCTCCTCTTTTCTTTTCTCAATCCTCAGATAATCCTCATGATGTGGCTCCAACAGTCGGGTTTTCCAAGGTCGACCTGAAGCAGGGCAAGTTCGAGGTGACAATCTTCGACCTGGGTGGCGGGAAGAGGATCCGAGGCATCTGGAAGAACTACTACTCAGAGTCGCATGGCGTGGTGTTCGTGGTCGACTCCAGCGACGTCCAGCGGATCCAGGAGACAAGGGAGACCATGGCCGAGGTCCTTCAGCACCCGCGCATCGCTGGCAAACCTGTGCTAGTGTGAGTGTTATATGTCCCCTGAAAATACACACCTAAAATCAATCAAATTATATTTTGAAAAATGTGGGGAAAGTGCCAAGGGATTTTAAAAATATTTACACTTTGGTGAAAGTGTAAAAGATGTGGACATTATAGAGGCATTACCCAGCCAATGAAATCCGAGTGCTGAATGCCGGTAGTGCTGAACTGTCCTTGCAACTACTTTACCTTGTCTCTTAAAAGATCGAGGGAGCAGGTTGAACCTGCAGCTAGTTTAGCCAAATCACAGGAGAGTGCAATGTGTTATTCTATTTATTTATTTGTTGTTTTTTCTTTGTTCTGCACATCAGCACTCACTGATATCTCTGTATTCCTCTGTGCGTTTAGGCTGGCAAACAAACAGGACCGGGACGGAGCGCTGGCTGAAGCCGACATCATTGAGAACCTGTCATTAGAGAAGCTTGTCAACGAGAACAAGTGTCTCTGTCAGATCGTAAGTGTTTGTGCACCTGTTGGGGAAACGTAATTCGAGTGGCATTAAGGGTATTTCGTTTAACTGCAGTAATACCCACATATAGACTAAGAGCAGGGCTTTTTGAGACAAGTTTATTTTCCTTCTCGACCGTAGCACAGTGTAAGACAGCAAGTAGTTAAGAGGATGCTTTTGAAACTTTAAGTGCTGACAGCATCTGATCTGTCAATATGTGCTCCTAATCCAGGAGCCATGCTCTGCAGTCCTGGGTTATGGCAATAAGGTGGACAAGTCCATCAAGAAGGGCCTGAACTGGCTCCTCAGCAACATCGCCAAAGACTATGAGGCCATAACTGAGCGAGTGCAGAAGGACACGGCCGAGCAGCGCGCACAGGAGGAGCAGGACAAGAAGGAGCGGGCGGAGAGGGTGCGGCGGATACGAGAAGAAAGGTTAGGAAAACACAAGGGGCCATAAAAATAACATTTGTAGACTGTCTAATAAAAGTTACTAAAAATCACATCTGAACATGACAACTGGAACCATAAGGTGGAGACAGATAAGGACAGAAATTATGTTCAGACAGATAAAATAAGGAGATGGATAAATGGATAAGAAGCTGGGGAAAAGTTGAAATGTCAAAATGCCAAGGATTTCAAGTCTCCCAAGGGTGTAAAAGTATGTTTTCCCTCCCTTTCATGTGCTTGAGTCATAATGAAAGATCAGTTTTCTGCTTTTGTATTAATTGTGACTGGATGTTGAAATCTTGTTGTGTCTGCAGAGAACGACAGGAGCAGGAAGAGGCAGAACGAGAAGGCCGGCCAATCCAGGAGGAGGAGCTTGATGATGAAAACATTCCCAGCCCCTTCCAGCCAATCAACAACTACATCTCTGAGGTGCGTAACTTTTGGTTTACGCTCAACTGGAAGGTGCCATGTTGTGTTGGAGCTCAAGTTTAAACATTCTGTATTTTAAAGAGCTCTGGAATGAGGGTTTCATTCTCCTTTCAGAATGAGGATAAAGAAAAGGAAAGGAGGCGGCAAAAGGAGCTGCAGGAGGGCAGGAGTAAAAGCCCAAACGCGGAGGGTGATCAAGAGGAAGAGGAGTGTGAAGAGGCTGATGAGGAAGAGCCGGAGGAATCAAGACAAGCGTCAGAAAGCGCAAGTTCAGGTGAGTGATACGTTTGTAAATTCACCTAATAAATGCATACAGTTATATGGCTGGGAATAGTTTTACAGAATGTGAGGGCGTCTCTGAAGTGGCTTAGCTTGTGGCTCTGCTTTGCACCGTAGGGGAAGTAAATCTGAGCTTGTTGATAAACATGAAAGAAATGAAAATCCCTATTTGCTTTTTACAGCAAATGATAAAACAAACACCTGAAACAAATATTTTAAAAGGCGTCAAATCAGCTTTCTGCAATGCAGTCTCTACTGAAGTACTGAATATGTAAGAAAGATAAATACCTGATAAGCCAAGGGCTAAAATGAAGGAAATTACTTTAACACATATGTTCAGGCCCATGTAGAAAAATTAAGTTATTACCATACTTACAAAGTCCAACCACTGTCTCATGTCTGAAACGTCTCTGCATGTTCAGCCACAATAGGCGAGCAAAGCAAGAAGAAGAAGCTCTTCCTGAAGAGGAAGCACCGCGTGGACCCCCTGAGGACGGAGGAAGGGCCGAAGGAGAGCCTCGCCCCGCTGGCTCCTCCAGGTGAGTGTGTGCATCATCGGGAGCTGCCATCCTTGACAGTACGCCTGCTTAGTTTGAGTCTAGTGGATTTTAGTAATGAAGACAGGATGATGGAATAAAACTCTTTCTTTTAATCTAGAAAGTAGCATCACTGTCTCTGTGTTTACTGTGAAATTTATTTCCATGTTGTCCTCGTTGCTCCTAAAAAGCTTTCAAGGAGTCAAATGCAGCAGATCCTGCTTCTGGAATGAAGAGGGAACATGAACGTCACTTTTTCATCCTGATGAGTTTCCTTTATTTTGTGTGTTCTCTTTATTTTATTTTTTTAGTGGGATGGGCCACACCCAAAGTTTCTAGGCTGCCAAAACTAGAGCCGCTGGGGGACTCGAAGCAATCTGGTAAAGCTGCCTGTGTGACATCTGGTTATGCTTCATCCCTCATTGCCCTCCACAGTTTGATTTCATGCATTACTTCTTTCTGTTATTTAGCTCAATCAGCCATTTATCTTCTCGCTAACCTGGTCTGCGTGTGGATTAACCGATTCATTAAAATGTCACGGCTCGGACTCAGTGTTTCCTCTGTGCATGATTCGCTGGATGTGATTCGGATCGGTTTGTGGATCCGCTGACCCTGTCGGGGGAAGTCTGGTGGATTTGTGCGTCCCACAGCAGTGGTGGTAAATTTTTCAGCGTGCCGCTGCAAAGGAAGCACTGAAATCTGCCTCACGATGTGTGTTGACTGTTAATTAGCATCACAGACCCACATCGCTGTCTTTTTTTTTTTTCTTCTCCTGCGTCTCACCAGGCATGTGTTTGAATGTGTGTGGCTCCTTCATGGTGGCAGACATCCTAATCAACTCAAAGGCCTGTTTGTGTACTCATCCACATTTTTCCCCCGTCCACCGCACCTCAGTGTCTTTCTCATTTTCCTTATATTCTTCTAGCTAGAGCTCAAATTGACAGTGTTTGTATTCCAGGTCTCAATGGATGTCATTTACTAATAAAATCAAACCCTTTTTTCCTTCATGCCCTCCACAGACTTTTTCAAGAAGCCTCTCCCGCCTGTTGCGATCAGGCTGCAGCCTAACGGTGACGCTCATGACATCATTTTCTAACCTCTTTTCGCTGAGGTTCCAATCACTGCTCTCCCCTTTTTTTGCTTTCTGTCTCAAGCGAGCAGCGGCTAGACAAGCAAGCGCATGGACCACTCGACGTGGGAGCTGGTGAAAGTGCGGCCAACGCAGAGCACAGGAGCATAACAGGAAGCCAAGTCCTGCTCAGAAACCTTAATTCAGTTTCACAGACTGACACAGCTTTGTGTGAAACGCTGAACCTGGCTGAGCTGATTTTTGTCAGGTTCAGAGTTTGGTCAACAGAAGCACTTTTGGTGCGGGAATGTTTCCACAACCGTTAGACTGAAACCTTATTTTTCATTGATAATATCAGTGTTAGACAGCTTGGACTCCATTTGTCCAACCAAGATGCTTTTACTTGACAAAGAATGTAAATATGTTTATTATTTCATCCATTTATTTTTGCATCTTCTGTGTTGTAATGTGCATATGATGCTGTGGATGTGGGTCAAAAAAAGAAAAGGTCTTAAGTGCTTTAAATTTGGTCTTTAAAAGTAGAAAATATTTCCCCTTTTTTAACGGTGATTTGAATTGAGGATGGAAAAAAGGAGTTGGATGAACTGTAAAATTGGAAACACTACGTGATTGTTTTCTGGTCAGTTTTAGTAAGGAATGTCTTCACATTTCAATTTTTTCTTTACACTTGCCAGCAGCATATGTTTTTATTTATTGTTAAAAATGTCAAAATATGAAAATATGTGTCTACAGGGCTACAGATTGTCTGCTGTTCACACTGTGTACCTGTTTTTAAAGTGATATTTCTCCCGAGGCAGGAATCAGCCTCAGAGGTGGCCCTGAGGAGGGAGCCGGCGTCGCTGTGGTCTCGTTTGTTGTTTCTCTGACTCTGCACACATTCTCGCTTTGAGAGTAACAGGAAATAGCTAAAATTGCAGCTCGAAAAAAACAAATCTGATATGCCCCAGTTAAGTTTTTCGTTTGAAGCATTTGCAGCGGGACAATAAGGGAGGAGAGCATATCCCCACACCGACACCTGGAACAGCCAATATTGGGCCAGAACACATGAGAATATGTGCAAGCATGAAATACCACTTTAAAACCACAATGAACATTCACTCTCATGTTAATAATAGAAAACATATTTTTTCTACCCTGCTTGAATTTTATAACGGCACAATTAAAGATGTTTCTCGTCGATCGTTGTGTGATTAGAATCTATTTGTTGGTTTTTCTGCAGGATTTCTCCATTCAGAGCATCTGCTGCTGATGTGGAGTGTTCGTTGTGTTTTATTATGGGCTCAACATGAACACGAGTCGCTTCATTGCACAGCTTCTGCTCAGAATACATTTGTCACTGCTGATTTTTATCCAGTATTTCTGGTAATTGCTCTTAATGCAGATGCTGTGATGTTATGATCAGTTTTTCCTTATACGACATCTTACTGTAAATCAGCAGTATTCAAGTATACAGCTTAAGTAAATGTACTTTGTTACTATCATTCTCTGGGAGACAAGAATAAGTCACAGAAAAAAAATGTGGGTGACAGACAATTATTAAAATGAGACATTTGTTAATATTCAGGTTGATAAGTTCCTGTTTTCAGCCTCTGTCTGAAAAGTTAAAGCAGTTTACACTTCAGTTGATGTGTACACCACTGTGTCGCTGCCTTTTTTAATAAGGTGTGTTTGCCTCTGACACACCCACCTAATAAGAGAATGTTTACCTCAAACACATTCAACTTGATTTTTGAAATCGAATGTGCCCCTGACTTTGACTTCCCTGGGAGTGTGGTGCCGAGGCCTCTCAGGAGGTTTGCAACTTTGCAGATCTTGTCGCCAGAGGGAGAAGCAACCTGGAAAAAGATGGAACTGTCTGGTAAATTTTAATAAAAGCATAGATTTTTTTACATTTACTTTGACTTCATTCCATTTGTAAATCTACCTCCAAAAGTTGGGATGGGGTCACGAGGTAGACTGATTAAATGATGTGATTTGAAACAGGTGATGTCAACAGGTGATTGTAATGATACAGAAGCAGCATCCAGGAAGATGCATCCAACAAATGGGTGAGAGAGTGATTGAAATGTTTAAAAACAATGTTCCTCAAAGAAACATAGGAAGGGATTTGACATGGCTGTGGAAGAAGAGTGTGGGTGTTGGACTGGCTTGCTTGCAGTCCCGACTTGTCCCCAATAGAGACAAAATGACACCTGAAATGCTTCATCACTTGGTGTCTTCAGTCCCTAAACGTCTTTTCAGTGTTGTGAAAAGGAATGGCAACATTACAAAAGTGTTAAATGCTTTACTGTACCAACTTTTTTCTGAATATGTTGCAAGAATCAAAGTTCAAATAAGTGTTGATTTAGAAAAAAACTACAAAAATCACAAGGGGGAACATCCCATAATGTGCTTTTGTATCGTGATCATTGTAAAACAGGTCAAAGATCATTTACAAATCACTTTTCAGTTTTAAATGGAATTCAATTTTTTATATAATTTCTGCAAAAAGCCTATAATAGTTCTTAGAATCCTGCTTCTGTTGAGTATTTGCTGTTCAACAGTGAAAATCAATGAATGTGAGCAACGACCTGGATTTTCTTCATCAACAATGACAGACGAGCTGAAGCGAGACCAGGTTTTGAATAAGCTGCTTCATTATGCAGCTCTGCAGGGAGAGCAGAAAGACAAAAGTGAATGAAAGCGAGGGATCAAAACAACAGAGAACGATATTGAGAAACTTTACTTGTGTTTGACAAATGACTAAGTCTGTGTGGTGACCTCCTTTGCATTTAAATGAGCCTTGCTGCGTGTTCCCTGTTAACAGATACTATGATATGTGTTCACAGGAAGCATCACATTTTATGACTCACTGTTTCTGAGAGGGAATGAACTCCTGACAATTATAACCACATAGAGCCCGGATTCTTCTCTCTGCGATCACACAGAACTGTGGCGATCAGTCATGAATACAAATGAAACCGCTCGAGGGCAAAACATACTTCAGTGTAGAATTAGGCTGAATGCTATTAAATAAAAAAACTGGATCTTCACGCTATGGAAGAAAAACAGTGACACTTGCTCTGAAATGACAGATAACACAAAATGTTAAACTATATCAATTCTTTTACGGGTTTTAAGAGTTATAAATCCACTGCTGACAAAATAATTACACATTTCCTGTGGCCTGGCCTCATCTTTTGTTATTGCATCTTTATCCAGAGACAGCAGGGAGGGAAAAGTAAAAAACTGTTATAATCTGGCCCTGCCTTTATTTTACTGTTAAATAAAGAATACATGTAAAAGAACTGCTCTATAATGTTAATTTACAGACTTAAAGTAAATAAGTAGCTGTACGGTTTAACGCAGAAAAAAAACATTACAAAAATACAAGTACATATCTGTCAATATCATGTACAGTATTTTATAGTTTATTTGATGATTAAATGACATTTTTTCATCTAATTTTACTAAGATTTAAGTGTAAGTTGACAAAAGAGAAAAATCTTTACTTTTGCCATAACATTGCAGATAATGCAATTCTTTACAGTGTGTGTTCCAGGGTTTTATTTAGACTAAAAGAGGCAAACAATAATGATTTGGGGTAAAAATCCACTATGTGACAATGTTGAATCCTCTAATAAAGGTTTATTTTGTTAAGTTTCCTTTTGGAGACATAATCAAACATGTGTTAGCACCATCCACAGCCCGTGTCACCTGCAGCCACAGCATTGCAGTAATGTGCAGTCTCATTTACAGCTCTCCTCATCCTTATTCACACAGGCTGAGTTTGAGCGAGGATGCCAGAGCTGGAGATGTGGTGCAATGAGGACGACCCCCTGCCCTGGTGCCCTTAAGCAGGTGCTTTCAAACTATGAACACCACAACCTCACCCCCTCATTATGCTGACACTTTGATATCATTAATCTCGTTCATTCTGGGGGCAATTTCCTTTTTTTTTTTGTTTAGTTTTTGATGAAGTGAAGTAATTTACTTCCTCTCTCTCTCTCTCTCTCTCTCTTTCTCTTTCTCTCTCCTTGTCTGCATCTAGTTTTCAAAGATAACATCTCTCAGCAAACTCCAGAATATATAAAAAAGATCAGATGTGCCGGAGCATTTTTTTTTTTTTAGCATTAAGGTTGATTAGTCCTCTACAGCTACAGCCTCTATATGAATAATCCTGGTATATATATAAAGGTAACACTCATGGGATTTTCTGCAGAAGTGTAACCATCTATACAAATAAATATTTTAGATTTTGTCCAGACTAGATTCAATAATGGATCAAACATTAATTTGGAGTCAGACCTGAGAGCTACGTGTGTTGGACAGACACTGAATAGGGACAGGAGTAAAATAAGGGCATTGACATGTGCTGTTTGTTCTGTGTTTAATAACATGTGCTCTGACAAATGTTCTGAGCTCACCCTTATTTATTCCAGTGTGTTTAGCTCTGCACTGTTCTTTATTTAGCTGCAGAAGAACCACAGGAGTATACAGGTGATCAGACAGAAGGGAGAGAAACTATAGCAACAAGAAGGATTTCAACATGGATTTCAATAATGAAAAATAGAAACAGTAATAGAAGAAAACTTAGTTTGACTTATATACGTGTGCCTGTGATGCTTGATGTCTCCCAATGGTGAAAAGAGATTACGCAGTTCGATGAAGGCAAAGTACTACAATTACCACCCTGCAGTTGTATACCTCCGCCACCCGGGCAGCTTCAGTCTGCGTACATTTCTTTACCAAAGTGTGAAGTCACAGTGACCTTTGACCTTTGACTACTGAAAGTGAGTTACAACTGGTTAAGAATTTTGAGAAATTGACCCCTGACAACCCAAATCTGATGATATAATCTGTGATTCTAAGAAGAATAGAGTAATGTAGAATGGAGCAGAACCAATAAATGAGCAACAACATGAAGACAGGTAATCATAAAAAACAACAACAGGCCTGTCTGTGGATTGGATGTCACTTTGTGGAGTTTATTGCACTTGGAATGATTTTAGTTAGGGTCAGGCCACACAGACTCTATAGTGCCTCCCGCAGCTCAAAGGTTCAAAATGGCTGGAGAGCAGACAGGAGCTATCTGCCAGGACACTCCTTGCTTTCTTCCTCATCCTTAGGTCAGAAGAACTGATAGCATGAAGGGATCAAGTAATAAGAGGAACAATAAAAGGAATAAACCCTGATTGTCTTCTTCCTGAATCCGTCTCCATCTCATATTTCAAACTAAGCGCTCCTAAATATTTCATGGCTGAATCCATATTTTAAACTAAACAGAGTCTTTAATTTCCCACGTCTTCAAATGTTTATCGCAAGAATCACAAGGCTTTAAATATTTATCTCACCCATGCTCTCAAGTGCCACAACACCTGAGCGTGAATGTGTATTTCTCCTCTCTTCTTTCCTGCACACTATCGAACGCAATCTGATCGAGTTATATTCATTTGGTTATTTGGGATCCAGGGATGGGAGCGAGAACATATCAGTGGCGCTCAAGCCTTGTAAGCGCCACACAGCTATCAAGGATACGCTCCCTATTGCAGCTTGAATGAAGTAGAAGTGAATCTCCGATATATGGAGCAGTGTCTCACTTAAGGGCAAACGTGGGCTGCGGTGGGCAGAGTTCAGCCAACCCCTCTGTAAGGATGGGAACTGTATCTGCTTCACCACAGCCTCTGAAGCCCCCAGGACATTTGTTTTTGAAGCAATGACATCCACAGTTGTAAAATCTAGACCTAAATATCTCTCTCTCACCCTGTTATCCCAATACAGGCTCACTTGTGGGTCCCGGATGTGTAAGAGGAGAACAGGAGGTAGAGCATTCAGCTACCAGGCTCCTCTCCTGTAGAACCAGCTCCCACTCTGGCTTCTGGAGGCAGAATCCATCTCTGTATATCAGGTTAGACTTAAAACGTTCTTCTTTGATTAAGTCAGAGCCCTGAATCGTCCATCTATAGGCTTGGACTGCCAGGGGCATCCCTGCATGTATTTTTATACATATTGTCAAATCCCTATATATATTCTTCTTCTTCTTCTTCTACTTCTTAATAATAATAATAATTTAGTTTTAATGCAAGTAACAAATTGCTTTACAACAAACAATATAAAACTCACCAACAATTAGAATAGAAATAGCAATAATAGAAATACAGACATCACGTTTTTCCTCTTCTTTGGTGTTGCTATTATTGATAACATAACACAAGCGTTGAGCCTGGCTTCACAGCCAGGTTCATTGCTTTTTTTGGTCCCCTGGAAACATTTCAGGTGTTTTCGCAGCACACGTGTCGTCAAATAGATTTTTCTTAATTCGCACGCGTCTTTTCTGTTTGTGTGTATTTTCTTGATTTGCAGTGCGTTGAGCTCTCTTGGCCACCGTACTATACAAATAAAACTGGATTAAATCTGCCCCATAATGGCTGCTGTAGTTTCATGATGCAGTCGGATTATTTGTCGTACTCATCATCCTGTGACAGCGGAAAAGGCGAATATGAAGTACAGGGTGGCGTTAGGACACATTATGATAATAAATCATTACTATACAGTCCTCCACCTTTTATCTTGCATCATATAATTCGGTAAAAAGGCCATTCCTGTACCCTCTCTTCTCCTTTGTAAGTATTTATGTGTGTTATCTAGAATAATCCTTTGCATATCCTTATTATACAGTGTAGTACTTTAAAAAAAGGACTGCAGTGTGCCGTAAGTCGACAGCTCTCCACCTGTCGTGACACCCCGAGGGTTAAATAAGGAGCAAGTAATGAACAAGTCGTGTCCTGGCTTGTGCTTTGTGCATCTGTTTCTAAAATGGGATAGAGAAGATAATAGGTAATTGAGTGTGCTTGTGTGCTGGAGGGGGTTACGCAGCAGTGGCTCCGGCCTGGGGGAGAGTGCACAGAAATCACTGCTGCTGTGTGTTGTCGCTTTTCATCACCTACAGGGGGCAGTGTAGTACCAGGAGTCTGGCTGACATTAATAACATCAACCGTGACACTAGAGCTGAACAGCATCTTGCAGGATGGTTCCTTTATTGTCAACAGGCAGAGGATACATCTACTGTAAACTAAAACTGCACCTAGAATCTCGTCCTTTAATGAAACCCGTGCACCGGCTCATTGTGTAACTAAAGAGGGTGGCGGAAAAGGGGTAAAGTTGAAGCGTGCAATGAGCAGATTTCGACTGAGCTCCTGGAGGAGTAGGCACCCTGCAGAGCAGCTGCTAAATGTACACATTGAGTGGTACATTTAACGCGAGGAGGAAGTGCTACTTAAGTCTTTTGTGATGAGGAGACATTAATAGATCTATCTATCTAATTAATTCATCTACAATTAGTCAAAGCTTTAATTTCATTCATTAGGTCTCCTGGTTAAGTATCAGTCAGCCATTATAGAGCAGTGGTGCAGTGACTCTCAGTATGAAGTAATATCTAATTCAGAGCCTAATTAAAACTTGGAGTTGTTAGCAGTACAATTAAACAGATTTTACCCTTTTGTGGTTGTTTAATTTTAATAATTCTCTAAATTAAAAGATTGTAAGTAAAAGTATCACATTAACTAAAAGTTATTAAGTACTTACTTATAAGATTAACTTCAGTATTTGCTTAGTTTAATGCAGTACATTGTAAAAGTGTAATGGATTAGAAAGTGCAGATATTTGCTGATATGTGTACTAGAGTAAAAGTGAGAAGTACTAGAAAATAAATCTACTTAAGCAAGCCGTCAGTGAAAGTGCATTGTCCAGATGATTTTCTATTTGTCTAATCAGCTCCCTGACTGACAGAAAACCAATTAATCCTTTAGGTCATTTCTAAAGAAAAATACCAAATATGCTTCCAGCCTTTTACATTTGAAGAAAGATTTAATGTCTTCGTGGTTTGGATAAAGAATGCTTTGAAAACATCTCACTTCTGGCTTTTGGAGCACATTTCCAGATGTTTTATCGACTGGATGATTCATTTTTTTCATTCTTCTCACGAGCTTACAGGGATGTTGAAGGAGAACTTGTAGAAGCTGGTGTGTCCCATTTTGTACCAACTAAAAAGTGCCGACTCATGAGATCCAGGCCTGATCCCACTAAAAGCAATGTGCACCTATTGGTTGAGATGCATACAGATAATGCAAATGAAGAAACCGCCCTGTGAAGCACTCGAGCTGGACACCTCACAATCTAGTGCCCTCATCTACAAATGCTCTTGGCGGTGCTAATGGTGGACCTTTTCCAGTGTCACATTATAATATCATTTCTGATCCACCGGCCCCATTGCCTGTTGTAAGTACTCCTCTAAAACAATGGAGCAGACGCACTCTGCTGTTAGTCAGCTCATTTCCTGCATCATCCTCACGGCGTTTTGCCATCAGCCACCTGATTGGGACACAATGTGAGGCTTGATTGAGGTCAGCCAAATAAATACAGCAAAAATAAAATGGAGGTTAGCAAATGGCAGGGGGAGATGCAGAGCGGCAGTAAAAAAGAGGGAGATTAGGGCGGGGGAGGCAATGAGAGATGGGGGAGAGAATAAGAAAAGCAGATAAGGGATAATGAGGTGTTCGCGGGAGGAGTGATGGAGAATAAAGAAGCTGTAATAATGGGCCAGTGGTATTTGGGGGAGAGATGGAGGAGATAAAGGTGAAAAGGGAACAGATGAAGGTTGTTGTCTGTCTGGCTCAGCAAAACTCAGCATAACAGGATTGTGAGAAAGCCCGAAACAGATGAAGCCTTCAGCCTTTTGAGGGGGAAGACGACAGAGGCTGGAGACATCAGGGCCAACAGCATGGGAACAAAAAAGGTTGCACAGGGATAACAAGGGATTTTTTACGTCCGACGTAGGGAGGTCATGTTTTTGTCTGCGTTTGTTTGTCAGTAAACAGGATAACGCAAAACAATTTTTGTGACATTTTTAGAGGGGTGGGATGTTTCAAGTTTGTCGTTATCTGGGCAGATCCAGGATATTGGACTAATTTATGGATTTTTATGAAAAAAAAAGAAAAATCAAACATGTTTAGGGGACTGATATTAATGAGTGTGGATAATCTGGTGCAGATCCAGAGAAAAAAATCCAGATCTAGTGAATTTAAATGTGGTTTCACAAGGGGACTGTTGGGCCTCATTTATTTGTTATTGGCATAATAACGCAAAGACTACTGAATCGATTTCCATGAAACTTTGTAGAGGGGTGGGACACGGTACGAAGATGAACCCATTTCATTTCAGTGTGGATAGGAATCAAAATTGGATCCAGGATTTGTTTTACTACTCGATGGATTGCCACAAAAGTTATTGGAAGAATACGCTATGGATCAGGGGAGATCCCACTAATGTGGATTTGGATTTAAGATTTGTTTGTCATTTTCTTTAACTTTGCAAATTAGAACAGTTTTAAATTTTTTGTTGATTTCCCAGGGAATTATTCAATGGATCTAAATTAAAAAAATATCAGGCATATTTAGGAATACTGAAATCTATCAGTGTGTGCAATTTGCTAAATCATTCAATGTAAGGGGACTGTTGGGCGGAGGAATATGTTCGAGTCTAGTTATAACTATGATGTCCTGAATTTTCTTTGGTTAGAAACAGTTTGCAGACCAACATGAGCCTAAATCTGACAAGTGCTCTTCTGTGCCGGAGGGCCAACAGGAACCCTCTCCACACCTGATTGGATGAACACGGAACAAGGCGGACTGGCACTGAGTCTTGCTTCAGGGCCTGTATTTATGAAAAGTGCCAAAAGTGAAAATTTGAGTATTAAGAAAAAAAATCCTTCACTTTTGCTTCCTGAACAAAAATCTATTTAACACTTTTGCTTCTGACTGGAGAGCTCTTTAGTGAAGAGCAGCTTTGGGGGCGGGTCGGAAACAGGGACAAGAATACTGATCCATGTTTTGGAGATGACTGTAGAAACTATCATTGGTCTTGATGAACAATGTAGATAATCACTTTCTGTACATCTTAATTCTAGTGTTTAATTCCTCTTAATTTAACCAACAGAAAGACAAAAACCCCTTTTGACTCCTCCCCCTCAAGTTTTATTTTGAAGTTTGACGAGATAAAAGTTGAGGTAATATGCGCCCTACGTTTTAAGCTAATATCTGAGGTCTGTTATATATCAAGCAAATACCAAATTGTGCTGTTTTAACATAAGAAAATGAAAAAGTGCCTCCTTGTCAGTAAACTGCACTGGTTAACTGGCAGCTGATTAGAATCTCGCAGATAAAACCAGAGCTAATGAGATTTCACGTGGCTTCGAGAGGCTGCTGTCAGGATGAGTTTGAGCAGATGCAGGAAAGAGAAAGAGAGTGGGCCAAACACAAGACTGAGAGGCCCCTCGGCTTCTTGACAGCAAAATGTCACAAGGAGGAAAAAAATAAACAAGGCATTTTTAAATGTATTTTTGAGACACTGTATATGATAAAAGGAATGAGGGTGGGATGAAAGATGGAGTGAGAACATGCAACAAAGGTTCTTGGTCGGACTCCAGCTGTGATCACCAGGGCACCGTCTCAATATGCTGTCATACATCAGATGTGCACTATTTGCATTTTCTCACAGTATAAAACGTCTCCTGCTGTGTCAATGTATTTGAAGGAGCACAGGTTTGAGATGTGAACTGTTACAGAGGTGGAAGTGAAACATGTGATCTCAAGGTCCCCATGAGATAAATCAACACCGAAAAAAAAACATGAAAACCATTAATATATACATTAAACTTTGGGCTATTTATACTTTTTTTTAATCTGAAAAGACATATTTAAAGGACTGGTATGAAACTACTGACCCGATTCCTGTGAAATTCAGTGGAAGGGTGCAAAATATTCCAAATCATTTTGTTGAGTCAGAATAAAAAAAATAGATCCAGGTTTTTTTTCACTTTCTTTGACATGGCCTTGGTGGAAGTATATATCC